AAGTGAAACACCATTTTAATTAACATAAGAATCTAATTATTCAGGTAAAACTTCTTTAGGCATGCTTGACTTGGGGGGTAAACTGGCGAATGTGTTACGATTTTTGCGTTACGATTAGTTTCATTGGTGACTCATCGGTAAACAATGAACAATACCCGTCACAAAATACATAGATCTAGTGCTTGGTGGGTGATAACGGACCCAGTGCGGTTTTTTGGGTGATAACGGACTCAGCGCGGCTTGGAGGGTGATAATGGACCCAATGCGGATTGGTGAGTGATAACGGACCCAGCGCGGATTAGTGGGTGATAATGTACCCAGTACGGATTTGGGGGTGATAACGGAACCAGCGCGGATTGGTGTTTTTTTTTTATCAACAAATCTTCAGGTTAAGTTTATGATTATTAGATCATTGGAGCTAAAGAAGTTTCACTTCAGTCGCGTGGTCATAAGCACACTCGCTTTATTTTTATAACCATCAAAAGTGTCCCAATGTTGACAAAGTTTTGAAATGTCAATGGGAAACCTGTTGCAAAAATTGTTGTTTTGTTATGAGTGTGAGTATTTTGCGTCGAAGCCCTGGTTAATTTTCTATGCAATCGGTATATTTGCTGTGCAATCAGTATATTTGCTGTGCAATCAGTATATTTGATATGAAAATCATATTTCTGTACAATTAAACAAGTTTTTTGTTACTACAGATTAGATGTATATTTTTGAATTATTTTCAGCACTAGTTTTGTTCAAGAAATGTTTTGTTTGCAGTAAAATAATTATTTTGATGTAAAAAGTATTTAACTAATTGCTGTAAATAACTTGATGGGTAATAAGCTATTTGCTGTGCATTTAAAAATATCCCTTTGGGAAACAGCTTTTAGGTACGTGAAAAACAGAAAAAAAAATCTGAATTAATATTGATAAGCTTTGTTTCTTTTATTTTTCCTTTCAAATTATTGAATTTATTTCGGATTGGTGGTTTGATCAGTATTTCGTAAATAGACAATGGAAATTCTTATTGACAAAAAGTATTTAAAAAGCTTTAACTTACCGGAAACATTTGCCGCCCTCGCTACTTCTTACTTCTGTCTAGTTTATTTCTCAAGGCAATGTTTACATAACAATATTTGTAATACATTGCTTATTAATATCGATAATGTCAATATTTAAATTGCTAAATTTCGTAACCGCAAGACGAAGTTAATAAATTCAGGAAAAACACATTAGGTACCTACTATATTGCTAAAAAAGGCATCTGAGTACAATCAGCAGAACATCAAGTTATGCAAAACAAACAGACGTCTCAAACACATAGTTATTTTAGCAAGTCACGTCATAGTTTTTTCATTATGTAGACCTTCAACGTGAATTAGGTGAATAAAGATAGATCATTATTATTATCATTTTGTACCCCTAAACATATCGTTTGCCAAACCTGTCTTATGAAATAATGCGTGGGAATATCCTCAGGTTGAAATCTATTGTTCCCTAATGCATACCATCTGATATGAGCTAAAACCCAACAATAGTAATAAAAGTATAGTGTTTCATACTAATGGGTGCTTTCTAAGACCCGTCAATCTGCTTTATGGTGTCACGATATATAAGGACAAGGAAAAGTACATGGGCCTTAGTAATGTTATAGAATCCGTCAAAAGTAGTTGCCAACATGGTAAGTATTTTCGTGGTATTTCCCTATTTCTGGGTCTTATCACAATTTCCAAATCTACCACTTTAAAAATGTTTTGTATCCAAATGTTTAGCTATTTTTGGTACAACAAATACTTAATATGAACTGTACAACCATTGATTTTTTTAAAACAATCTTGTCATTATTATAATCTTTACCTACAAACAATCATAATTTTCTTATATAGAGATGCAGGCAGTAAATGTGTTTAGAGTTGAAATAGGAATACAGACAAAAGATCTGTCCTAATTCCATATATTTTAAATTACCAACATAGAATGGACTTTTCCAATCAAATTGAAAATGCAGTAATTGAATTTTCTAAACAAAGTAAATGGTCTGGGGGTACAAACAAGCAAAGTCCGTTTCACAGCACGATCTACAAGGGACACTACCGCGTGAAACTACTTACATATCTATAAAAATGTATTCTTTTCCAGGTAACCAGATCTATCCTAACGGTCATCATGTGCTGTGGATATTTTGTTTTTCTACAATCAATGATTCCAAAAGCGATGGCTTTGAAGAAAACATCTGATGTAAAAGAATACATGGTCGGAGAGCAAAGAACGCGTAGAAGACAAAACTATGTGCAGAAGATGGCATTGGAAAATGAACTATTTGATAACGTAGTCGATGATATAGGGCAACAGTACGTAATCAAGGCAGCGGATGTGGATGGAAACAAAGAAGAGCTACCAGCACTCGTTGTGGACTACGCGAATATGATACGAAACGATATCATTCTCTTGGATAATTCTGTTAAAACCAGAACGCGTAAAAGAGGCGACGTGAAAGTGGAGAAACACAATGTAAGTTTAAAATATAACGATTTTACTATGTACATACTTTTTTATATATTTTTAGTGTTCTGTACCTTAAAAGAAAAAACAGAACCTTTCTAGGATCACTTTTTTGTCCGTATGACCGTCTGTCTGTCAAGACACTTTATCTTGGGAACGCGTGGAGGTATCGAGTTGAAATTTAATCCATATACTCAGCTCTGGAGTCCCTTGAAGCTGTGAAAAAATCAAACTTCTTAGTTTACGAAAAAACGACACGAGCGTTTATCTGTCTGTCTGGCAAGACCCTTTATCTCGGGAAAACGTAGAGGTATTATATCTTATACCTACCTACCTTGAAGATGTGAAAACATCTATCATCATCATCATCATCATCAGCCTATTAATGTCCCCACTGCTGGGGCACAGGCCTTCCCTATTGATGGAATAGGGAGATTGGGCCATGACCCACCACGCGGGCCCAGAGCGGGTTGGTGGTTGCTAACGACTGCAGATGCAGCCGGGACCAACGGCTTAACGTGCCTTCCGAAGCACGGAGGAGCTCGAGATAGTAAATTTTCGGTCACCCATCCAATGACCGACCACTGCGAAAGTTGCTTAAATTCAACGATCGCAGCGGAACGCGCCATCGAAAACAACTTTTAAGTTAACATTAAAAAAAGATACGGCCGTTTATGTTGCGTGCCTACAAATGTGTACGGAACCCTCGGTGAGCGAGCCCGACTCACACTTGTCCGGTTTTTTTAATTTACTAATGCATGTATGCATTACATAAATGATTAGTGATAAATTGTTTATTCATCTTTTTCAGCAAGCCATACCGGATACACCCTGCAGTTGTGAATACAATGTAAGTAATAAATCAATAAATAAGAGTGAAATCGTAAAAATATTATTCTATCTGAATTTATCGTTATTTTTTTTGCTTATAGAAAGAAATAATCGATTTGGGCGAAAATTATTATCCCCGATATTTGGAAGTTCGAAATTGCAGCAACCAAATGTGTCGACTTCCATTTAAGTGCCAGCCCAATACGTATGAAGTAAGTACAGACAGATTGTAGTGAATATTTAGGAATCCCACTGATATACTAATTTATAAAGAAGCAAATCAGAAATAATCTCTGAAACGATCCTACTGATCCGATTTTGAAAGTTCTTTCAGCAGTAGATAGATCGCGAGATTGCGGGCAGTCTTCACAGGATACCGCATCACCACCCGTACTCCCGGTCCGCGTTGCTGGGACTGCGGACAGCAATGCGGATCGGGTGCACGGTGCAGAGATATTGTCTGGCTTTTAATGACCCTGTTCAGGGCGTAGGTAGAGCCCTGTACACTTCAGCTGGCCTCAGGGCTGGCTGAAGTGGACAGGGAGGAGTCCCACATACCTTCTTCTCGCTCCCCCAGTAGTTGAAGGATGCGTAAGGCATTTCCCAGACAAAAAAAAGTTAGATCGCGAGAAAGTAAGCGCGTTAAAATAAATTTCACCCGAGCAAATCTGGGATGGGTGACTTGTCTTATTTAACATAATATCAAGTTCTTGTATTTTGTACTTATATTTTTTTCATTATAAAATTAAAAGAAATATTTTAAGTCTTAATTTTTATAATCCAGTTCGACAGGTGGCCTAAAGTAAAAATGTTTGTTTTTGGTGGTTTTTACTAAATGTAAAAAAATAAGGATTGCAATCACATGACTAGTGTTTAGTAATGTACGTTAACACTAGTCTTCGCGCGACTTCGTCTACATTTAGCATACTACAACAAGTTTAAAAAAAACATACAGATAACTCGTAGCGAACTGCTACATAAAATTAAAATAATACTTATTATTTTAATTTTATGTAGCACCTACAATGCGAAGAGAATGCGCTGCCTTGCAGCTTAAAGCTAGGAAAATTTCGACGCGGCCATCAGGGCCGTGGTAGCATAATTGGTCAGTGCATTCGCCCGGATGACGAAGGGTGCGGGTTTGAGTCCCGTCCAATGCCTGGACCGCGTGGTTTTTTTTTTCTAGTAAAACTTTTCTTTAGATTTAAACATCTAGCAGTTAAATGCTTAAAAGACATAATTCTTATTACTTAAACTCTTGTGAACCAAACATAATGTTAAGCTGTTGCTACTTTTTATTAGCAAATACTGTTTTGTTTCAGTTGACTATATTGAAAAGGAGAACTAGCACAACAGAACAATCTTCCGTAGAAATACCGAATGAACTGAAACATCGTTGGATTGCGGACAAACGATCAGTTACCATAGGATGCATGTGCACCAGAGATTACATCATAGATAATAAATAACTAAACCAATTCTATATACACAAATCACTTCGCAGACAAATAGCTCTATTTTAATTAAGGAAAACTGAGCTAATGATTAAATGAAAATTAAGATTATTATAATTATTTACAAATTGAAAACAAATAAATTGTATTATTCAACTAGAAATCTAGTCATATTAGTTAGATAGGGGTACGAAAGAAGATGTAAGTACGTAATAAAACAATTTGTCATTTTATTCTTTTTAATTTCAATATTTAATAATTACATTATACACGCATATATTATGCTACATACCAACATAATACCAAGTTTTCCATTGTATTTTATGTGAAATAAAAGACTTAGGTAAGATGTGTTACGATCTCCTGATTAAAAATATTATGTGACGCGAATTCTGATTTGGTATTAAATTAAGAACTCTTTTTATTGAGTAAGAAAAGACTAAGAAAGGATTGCTGTAGCAGGTATCTATTTTTTTAAAATAAAGTTGAAGATAACTCCTATCTTCTTACATTTCCTTATTTTCAATAAAAACAGTAATACATTAATAGATTCAGACATAAACATTCCTATGAATATTTCTATCCCTTATCTTTGAATAAATTGCTTAATAATAACAAACAATAAATCACAAATATACGAGAGATAATTAGAAAATCTCTGGCGAATATTAATCAATCTATTAATTCACACAAATACAATTAGAAATTCTGTAAGCACAACTAATCACCAACGTTTTAGTTTTTGTAAACCTACCTAACTCCTATAGTTTCCTTCTTTTCTTCTACGGCACTTAGCACGTTTGCACCAAAACAACACGTCATACAACAATACCACGTCATATTACAGAGAAAACGTGTTAGAGCTTCAATTGCCTTCCGCATGTTATTTAACAGACGTGCATCATCTTAGGTATAAGAATCGCCTTATTCATAAGTTTATGAGAATCACATCTTGAAAAATGTATTATTCTTTGAATTCCAAATGTCTTAAAACGTAAGCAAGTTAACGTAAAAAGTAAGAATTGCGTAGTTAACTGAAATTTCCATTCAAGTTTATCTACACATTCGATCAATTAATTTAAGAGAACCTTTTACAAATTGCGCCGCTGCCGTACTTTTCAGCGCATAGGTAGATTTGCACTAGTATATCGATCCTTCCAGGATGAAACGTCGTAAAAGCCATTTTACCCAAAATCTGTTTTTAACTGTTTCTTTATCAGAATCGCGAGCGATATCGATCTGTATATTTAAAATGTTCAAATTCGTTCGTTAAAATGTCTTTTACAACACGCTCCAATTAATGCCCTCTAAACCCATTTTTCTTCTTGTAAAATGTCATAATGAGCAATTTTGGAAATATTTTTTTCAAATTTATGTAGTAAGAGACATATTTTCTCATTCCACAGTCAATACAACATTATATAATACAGTACTGGAAAATAATACTATTGAAAAAATTGTAGTAAAGGACACGATACTACTAACAATTTTGATGTAGACATACTAGGGACTTCGGAAAAGGACATAGGCTTCGATTAGTCGCAGTTTTTTTATTACAAGGAGTGAAAAAATAAAGGATGTAAGTTGGTAGAAAAAAACAATATTCTATGTAAACGAAGTTCTGGACGTAAGTACGGCTTGTTGGCTTTAGTTGTGGGCCCCAAAATTCGTGTTTTCAATAGCAGGGTCGTGTTGAATTGTTTACCTAGGACAATAGGTTCTCTCTCTCGCTGCCAAGCATGGTCGAGGCTATGCACAGTAGTTAGACGGCTTGGAAGGAGTCGCCTCTCTCTGTGACGACGTCATCTCAAAGAAGGAGGAGGCCGAGAGGGGGACAGGAGGACAATCCTCTGGCCGTCCCCTGCCACCGCAAAAGAACAGGCACGGGAAGGCGAAGGTGCGCCCTGGCTGCGCACGTGCAGTGACCCTATCTAATTGAATCACTTGTTGCCCGGCATGGCGTTAGCCGTGCCAGCCACCGATGGATTCCGTGGCGTCAGCTATCTTTTGTACCTAACCTACATGAGAGGGCCGCGGAAGAGCCTGCGAGGGGAACTGCGCAGTCCTTCCGCAGCAGACGGGGAGCGGTGCGGTGGGCAATAGGCCGCGCACTTAGTTGCATTTACTTCACTAAATTAAACGTTATTCTTATTACAATTGTCTTTTTATTCAAAAATCCCTTTAATGAAACAAAATATGAAGTCTTATACAACTTCAAGGAAAAAAGCTTACATTTGCCAAGCAGAAATAAAATGTCGTAGAAACCATTTACAACTTGTTTTTTTGTAGTAAAAGCCATGCCATCTCTGGAACTAATGAATGTAGGCTATTCCGAGTTTCTTTTTAGTAAGTAACCCGAAAACCTAAGCTTAATGAGTTATAGTGGTTTATTATAAACTAAGCGAATTAAAAAATATATGGGAAACAAACTTCACCGTTTTTGTTTTTTGGCCGTATTGAAAAATACCGTTTTGGCTTTTACTACGTTTCATCCTGGAAGGGTCGATATATTGCATTTTACGGGTGATGTTTCGAGTCTTATAAAATAACTAGTGGCCCGCCCTCGTTTCGCTTTGGGGTAGAATAGGCTAGTTGACCCTTTTTGGAAAAAGGTTTTAAATGGTTAATTAATGTTCTATTAGACCGAAAAAAAATGTATTGTATTTTTTTTTAACCTAGAAAGCTACAAATCTGTAATTTTAAAATAGATTTTTCATGGACATACAAAAACGCTGTCGGCCATTTTAGTCTATAGATTATCTATGCTATGACGTGAACTGTGGTAAACAAAAACTCGTAAACACGTAGAAAATTACTTTTAACTGAGTTTATAATAAAAAAAAACTTGATTTCTAATAAATACCACGAAAAATAAAGTAATTATCATTACTGTATTGTACGAGAATATAAAAACACATCCTTGAAGACTCCAGGAAAGTTGTGGATTAAAGTGCCGAAAGAAATTAACCTACGCAACTTTATTACACTTATTCATATGTTGTATCAGTTTTATGTTTATTACTACATTGTAATACTAAATGCACTGTACTTACATAGATGCCTTGTCGTTTCTCTGCTCCGCAGAGCAGAAATCGGGGTTTAGTGCAACAAATTCACCAACCATCAATGCGTCAATTCTTGGCAGATTTGTGCTTTCTGCTTTCACAATTAGTTCCATAATTAGTTTTGTCAAAAAACTGTTTTTTTCTTTCCTAAAGTTAAAAGTGTTTTAAGATAAATTTAGTCAGACGAAAAAATCCACCTACAGTAACACGCGAATGACATTTAGTTGTTTACCACAAGAGACGTCCAAATCATGGCGGATGTGGCGAACAGCGTTTTTAGTGTTTAAAAAATATAGACTAAAAAATATTTTTTTAAATTAAATTTCTACAGCAATCTTCTGCTTTTATGAAGTGAAATCGATATATTAAGGTTCCTTAGACTAAATACTTTAAGAAATAAACATTTATATATTACAATTCGACATGAGTAAACTAGCCTATTGATCAAAATCCTTTCTTAGCGGATGCCTACGTCATAACATCTACCTGCATGCCAAATTTCAGCCCGATCCGTCCAGTGGTTTGGGCTGTGCGTTGATAGATTACTATGTCAGTCAGTCACCTTTGAGTTTTATATATATAGATTATTAATGAGCTAATTATAAAAATATATACATATTTCAGTAGTTCAATGATGGTAGATTAGTTTTTGATAGTAATTATATTTTATTCAATATCAAAATACGAAGTAAACCTGCGTTATTTTTTAGGAAAACTCACGGAGGTTAGATGTTTTTTTTGATAATTAATGAGATGGAAAAGCAAAGTTCTAATACATTATGTTACAACAAAAACATATTTTTGATGTCTTAGTAATCAATTTGATCTAATTTATTGAACATTATTGAGAGATTGAGGCGTTTGAAGTTGTGCATATTATCGTTTTTTCCGTAAACTAGCTGCAGTAGAACGATCAGTACAAAAATAGGAAAATAGTATTTGCAATATTCTGCATTAACATACAATAGGAAGAATAAGTCTACTGTTTACTTCTATTGGAAATAGTCAAAATCTTTTCTAAGGGGGTAAACGATGCGCTCAAAAATTACGATTTTTTGCAAAAAAATGAAAGGGCTCTTAAGAAATAGTTTGAATTTGTCAAAATCAAGTCATAAAATTTAAGAATCCATCGCTAAATAAAATGAATGTGAGTATATTTTGATAAACGTTCGCCGCACATAACAAATCAACGTAAAATAAAAAATTTAAGCATCCATCGTTGAATAAGACGAGTGTGAGCATGTTTGAATAAAAGTTTTCGGCTTTTAAAAACGCAAAGTTATTTTAATTTGCACTCGTTTCTAAACGTTGGTAATTAGTTCTAGTTCCCTATAAGTTAGGGTTGCCATCCGCCCTGTTTTCCCAGGGCATGTCCTAGTTTTTGTAGTGTCCTGGGACGCCCTGAATAGGTTTTAAGCAGCGTTTTGGGTATTTCAATTTTAAAATTCGCGCGCCGCTCATCAAATTTTTACGCTATATGTGATTATTTTAATTACTTAAATTTCATTTCACTGTTTTCACTAGATATTATATTTAACTATTGCAACTCTATTAATGCGTCTTGTTTTAAAACAGATTTGTCCTGGTTTTTCCAACTTCAAATCCTGGTTTTTTAAATTTGAGGTTGGCAACCCTACTATAAGTATAAGTATCTTATATGAAAACGACATGCTTAAAGTTGGTATTGTTTGTGAAATTACTAAAATTAAACGTATTCAGAACTCATTGGGACCGTTTCGTGAGCCCCAGGGGTGGGAGCTTCCCTCAATTGGGGCATTATGTGGGATATAGCCACTCGAGTCTCACTCACCATACCCATCTCACGTCGCAGCACCTCCTCAGTCACCGTGTGTATGGACTTGAACTTTAAATTGATACCGTGAACCTTGGACACGTGGTTGTTCAAGTTTACTTTGTAGCTGAACGCCACGTTGCACACCTAAAACAGAATTGAAAATATGTTAAATGGTCGGTATAACTGCGTAATAATAGTGACGATGACTAATTTTCTTTTTTTCGCTTGCCAAGGAAGATTTATCAAAAAGTATTGGACACATTTTTTTTCTTTATTCACTTAATCAAAACATTACAGATATACTGATTTGAAATGTCACATGACTTCACGTCTAGGTAATTTTTTTACTTAGAAGTGAAGTCACGAGCCCCCAGTTTCAAACTTTGACGCGCTTTATCTTCACATTTTTTGGTTGATTGACAAAAGAAAAAAAATAGGTGTCCATTCTTTTTTTAATAATCTAACTGACGGAATAAATAAAACATCGTTTACTTTATCTCGTCAACTCCCCTATTGTATTACAAGTGAAAGTTTCGTTTAGGGATTAGTTTAAGTAAATGAGTACGCATAAAGTTTTAGGATTTTGTTAACTCTTTCAAATCTTGGTAACAAATCTAAGCTCCTCATGTTGTTAAGAAAGCGAAAGAAATGATATAGAATAGGTACCAAAAGCTGGGGCCGATCAACTTGTGTAACTTTTTCGTTTCCATGCCATCTCTTTTATTTCATAGTATGGAAAGAGATATGTTAGATCACATTAACACTTTATGTTTAGCTTTGAAAAGAAAAGAGATAAAGTTAGACAATAGCATTGCTCCTAGATTGCTTTCCCCTGCGTTTTTTTAGCTCCGAGGAAATTACTCTATCCCTACCAATGGTAAAATAAGGTCGAGTCCCGACGCGAAGATAAGTGGAACGCCAGTTATCCTACAAGCTTGCAAGATGTTTCATTACGCCTTTTCTAAAGGACCCCAAGGTCGTAGGAAAGAGCGACCAAAATACCGCGCTTACGTCATAGATTACAACAATAACTAAAGCAAACCGTTATTCGATTCATCCCCCGACGGCAAGAAGTCATTGTGCTGAAGTTCATTCAGACTCAACGCATGAACAAACCCATCAAGATAGAAACCAGAATAATGTTATTTGACAGCAGTGTTCTGTACTATAAAGGAAACTACTTTGTCCAATATTTATGATTTAAAGCAGGTAAACATTCGCGTACTTTCAACAATAAAAGTTACTTGGGCACATTTCGGACAACATAAAACAATTTAACCTTTCGTAGCCGCAAGCAATGCTGTTTGATTGCATTATTTTTTTAACATTTGTTTCCAAACAAAATCTCATTAGATAGTCCTGTTGTGTACAACTGACCTACCAGCAAAACTATAAAATGCTACAAAAATCATTTAGCTTATTATAAATTTGAAGAAGAACTTAAGTACTTTAATAACCTTACAGAATTAGGATTTAATGATCGTGCGGTGTTAGTGGACTGACCTCGCAAGAGAACGGTCTAGCACCCGTGTGGGTGAGCAGATGGTTCTGCAGGTGATGGCTTTGTGTAAATTTTTTTGTGCAGTAATCACAGTTGAACCTTCTGTCACCCGTATGGATTTTCATATGGCGTCGCAGGGCGGTACCCTGGAATAGAACACACAGGTTGAGGAATAAAACGCACCTGACATGTGTACGGCCGCTCCCCGGTGTGCATTCGCTCGTGGTTTTGCAACTGATGCTTCGCGTTGAAGGACATGGTGCATGTCGCACATTTGAAAGGTTTGTAACCTGAATGTATGCGCAGGTGACGGGTCAGATCGCAACGCTGAAATACACCAATCGCTCTTATTGCCTATTTATTTACATAACACCAAAGTGTGTTAAACAGTCCTGGAAATTTTTTAAAGTGCCACTATTGATATATCGTGATTAATTCAAACTGGTGTTTGATCGATTAAAACATAGGCATGCAATACTCGAATTGGTGTCCGAATTTAGTGAATATGCAAATACAGAAGACAATAACAAACGGAAATCAAAAATAATTGTATGATAATTACAACCTGTTTATTGTGTATATGTTTCGCTCAAAGATCGAAAACGTTCAGTGAGCGGAAAAATAGCTCACAACGCGTTGTAGTCACAGTAAAACATCCACATGGCGAAATTCGTGTTATGGCTCTAATGAAAACGCGCACGACGCGTTGCGGCAATCACGGAAAGACCAAATAGCGAAATTCGTGTCGTGGCTGGCATGCTATTCGATCTCAACGCGTTGTGGCAATGAAGAAAAGCCATGACGCGTTCTGAGCATTCATTGTTTTATCACGACGGACAGGTTGTAAGTTTATAGAGGACGTGCAGCACCCAGGAATGTTGTTATGAGTATTAATCCATCAGGTCTCTACCAGTTAGGAAACAAGGAAGGTACATTCGATAGACTTTATGCATGTAATGAGTTTACACTTTCTGAAACTAACTTTATTAACTGTTTGTATTTAGTGCACGCTCCGTAAATTCTTAAAGAGTGAGCCCCTCGGAATGAAGTTGATGTTATTATATTGAAGAGAAACTGTTTATTTATATACAGCATTAAACAATTTATACTTACCGCAATAAACCTCTTACTGCAAAGGTTACATGGAAAGGGTCTATCACCTTTATGAATGAGGTTATGTCTGAAAACAAAAAAACATTTCTGTATATTAAAAGAATTTTAATCAATGTTATTATTATTTTTAATTCTAACACCCACATCAAACTCAAATATGTATAGCAAAAACATGAATTCGTGAACTTTATAACTTACCTGACTAAAGATTTTTGACTGTAAAAACCAGCACCACATACTTCACAAATATGATCTTTGATTCCTGAATGTTGCTTAGCATGTGCAATAAGGTTACCCTTTTGAGCAAATGTCTTTGGACATTGTGAGCAGGAGAACTTCTTTCTCTCTGTAAAAAATAATTAAATGGAAAGTTAATAATATCTTAATCAGTGCATTTTGCAGAACATACTTATTTTGGTTTTTACATAAATGGCTTTGCAAATTTGCTCACCTCACCTAAAGTTAATTGTAAGTGGTGTCCAGTCACAAGGATAGCTAGAGGTGGCAAAGTGTGCCAGCCATTCTCATTTTAGAAGTCTAAATGCCTACCCAGTGGAATTGTGAATTTACTGAATGGTTTTTCTGTAGGGTGGAGTTAAATAGTCAAATGCTCCTGAGAGATGCTGTAAATCAAGCTAAAAGCCTACTATGCCCTACATCTCTTATAAATACATTGAATATTTTACATAAACTATAATACTTCATGTATCACCCATCATATTGAAAAGCTGTAAGGTTAAGACCTTACAGCCTCACAGAGAATTATTATACCAACCTTGATGAGTTGCAATATGGTTGCCCAATGTAAATGTAAGTATTCCACAAACAGGGCAAACTAATTTTTCTCTTTGCTTTGCTATTGGCTTTGCACTTCTCACCATCCTCACAGATTTATCGCGGTGCACAACTTTATTGGGCTCTGATGATGAACTAGCTCTAACCTTATAATTAGGATGCACTTTAAGGACAGTGGCATCCTTTGGTCTTCTTAAAAGTATAGGTGGTCCTCTAGCACCATTTTTCATTATTGGATCTAAAAATTAATAATAGTTACTTTTGTTTTTAACACAGGAAACCAGTAAAACTTATCAAGAAAATGTAGTTTCCACTTACAGCAAGTTATCATTGTAGTTTTAGTTTTGCCATCCTTTGATGTTGCTATAACAGTTCTGTCCTCCCCATATTCTTCTTTCATTTTTTTAATAACTTTAACTTTTCTCACTATAGTTTTGTTACCCTTAAAAACCTTGATATCAGATAATTTAGGTTTCTTGAATTTTGTCTTACGTTTTTCTATTGGTGGCACATAATCCTCATCATCATCATCTTGAAATACATCATCATCCAAATATTCTGTCTGTAATGTTTCAGAAATATACAGATATAATTGACAAAAATAAAAAAATAATTATGATTTTATTTAGTTTTATAAACTTTTACCTGTAGATCATCTAAATCAACCTTATTAGATTTCCATGTTAGATCAACCTCATCAGTAGACACATTAGGTTTGGGATTGTCTGCATTCCCATCTACTTTTCTAATCACAGTGTTAGCAATGACAATATCCCTTCCATCAATTGTTTCCACGGGCTTTGAAGGACCATCTGCTAATACATCAATTTCCATTTCCCATTTTGGTTCAGATTTTATAGTGAGGGGTCCTATCTCACTTTTAATATCAGTGAATGAATCAAAGGCAATTTTCTTTGTTGGAACATTTTCACTGGTTTTTTGTAGGATTTTCCTAAGCTTTCTGTCAGTCCTGTAGAAAAATAATAAACATGGAGTGCACTTTTCCTTTACTTCAAAACATAAACTCCTTAACGATTTTTTTATTTACCTTTCTGCCACAGTCTTGAGAAGATATGCTTTCTCAAGAGCCACACAGCATTTCTGACAAATTTTCTCTGGCAAGCCATCATTAGAACTCACCTGTAACATTTAAATATTTATTTACGATAAAGCAAAAGTTAAAAATGAATTTTATGTACTTACCTAGAGCAAAGAATTTAATAATAACAAATGCTGCATACGGAGCATTTCAGAATGATATATTATAATTAACCTCTACTAATTTTATGCACAAGTAAAAATTTAAAGAAGTGCAGGCTTTTTGTCAAAACGTGATATTATTACCTTTACATCTGCGACAGCCGTTAGCATTTCCGCATAATTGCCTGATAATTTGTATTTAAAAAGAGGGCATAGGGGTTTTTTATTCGACAAACATATTCTACATGATTTCATATCAATATCAAGATGCCGAGCATCATGCATTTTGTATTTAAAAGTGATGACGGTAAAACCAAAACAATATCGAAGGTTGTACTGTGTGTGTCGATTCACTAAAATATCGTAACACCACTACTATTTCTTGCTTTATTTACGGCACAGTCACATTTTTCATTTCTCTTCACTAGAAATCTACGATTTCCTTCACCTCACTACAGTTGTGTTCCATTAACAATTAATAAATCATCGTAATGTAATATTCGTTAAAAACTCAGCGGCTAAATACTAACCCTGTTCCCAAAATAGGAAAGTTAGCTGAAAATGCAAAAAATATTAATTCAATGGAACAGGCCAATCGCAGGCGAGTTGTGTTACCATAAACAACGGCGTGGGGTAGAGTAAATGATTGTTCATTATCTATAACTAAAGCCAGAAACATATTAACGTAGCGTACGTGTCGTGACGCATCGGTTTCATACATTTATTATGAGTTAGAGAGAGAGATAGAGAGTTGACACAACACGACATGAAAATATGTCCCTAACCATAGTAATAATTTAAGAAACCGATGTGCTTCTGACGCGACTCGACACGACACGATACATTAGTATGTTTCTGGCTTTAAGCAGCTAATGGTGTCGATTCTGGCGTGATTCTCTAAACTTAAAACTAAATTTAACGTCAGTCTCTCCTTTTCATTCTGTATAGAGAACGACGGGGATGCACTGTTGTCAAATTTAAGTTTAGCTTTAGAGAATCATGCCAGAATCGACATCAATGAGGATCCGTAAAGATTTTGGTTGAGAATGCAGATTTATAGAGCTGAAAATTCCATAAAATACAGTTGTTAAATTTTGTTCTCCGACAAATATTGATTAAGTTATGACCAAATTACTTAACGAATTTTCAGCTGGCCGCGGGATGGCTGTGACGTCACAGCGTGCATAGAGACGCTAGTGAAGTTCGACGGGAGTGAACCACGATCGAGCTCTGTGACGTCACACGTTTCGGCCGCCAGTGAATATTGACTTCCATAAAATTAGTTATAAAATCGCAACGAATGAACCGATTTCGATGATTTAAAAAGTATATTAATTAAAAAGCTTGTTAGATCAATATACTGTAGATAGATTTTGAGTTATTTTCTGACCAAGAATGATCCTCATTTAGTAGGAACTTCATTATCTTCTAAATTGAACAGAATCTTTTCCTTCTATTCAATGACCGAAAGGGACTGTAAAAGCAAAATTAAGCTCATGGCTACTTAAGCTAACGTATGAAGGAACAGAGGACCTATTGCTCACCGCAGGATAATAAACCGCAAAAATATCAGCTGTCTCGCTTACACTTATCATTTCATCCACACACATAATTATAGTCATGCTCACGTTTACACAAACAGGCACTCACACTCACACCAAATATACACACATACTGCATAGACTTTCATTCAAATACACTCTTTTATTTAACCTGTGACAATTAATATCAGTAACCTTTGTTAAAATAGTATTCATATTCATCTTATTTGTTAACCAACATTGGCGATTCTAGTTATGGGATATCGTACCTAGCACGGGCATCAGTCTCACACAAACATTAATGTTATCAATTAGTTAAAAATTGTTATCGATGCCAAAATGTTTGAAATGAGAAATAAATGATTATTATTATTCACATGTAGCTTGCTACTTAAATAGTGATCTGTGCTCACCTTAGAGTAGACCTTAGATCTTTAGTGCTCACAGTGTCTATTCTTATATCATATTTGTCATTTTAATACTAGGTTGTCTTCATCATACTCCATAAAGAGTGAAAAGAAAAGACCGTTATCAAGTTTACAAATAGCCATGTAAAGAAAACACAACAGCCATGTGAAATAATAATATTTTTTACTGATTCAATGGTTTTGATTCTGGCAAGATTCTTTAAATTTTAATTTTACACTTCAAAGTACTAAATACTAATTATCTTTTAACATATTATACATGTATAAATAGTGCGTGAAATTCTGCCTTTGTTAGTATAAAAAGTGTAAATGAATTCGCAATAAAGCGGAAAACTATTGATTTATATTCGTTGTTGCTCCTCTCCTCCTCTCCTCTAAAGCTAAAATTAAATTTGACAACAGTTCAGCCCTGTCATTCTCCATACAGAATGAAGAGGAGAGACTGATATTAAATTTCGTTTTAAGTTTAGAATATCACGCCAGAATCGACACCAATAACTGTTTTCATGGTGTATACGCTAGCATGACGGCCGCCATGCTGGATCCAGCAAGATGTAGAAGGACAAGTGCGTAGAGGACTATAGATCTTTTCTTGGTTTCTTCCTACTCGTTTGTCGTTACATTGCTAATCTGTGGAAGCATGCACGGTCTAATGTCAAAAAATAGTTACAGGAAAACAGGGTTGAATTATTTTTAACTTATTTTGTCTGTGTCTTTAATTTATTTTCATTAACAGGAAAGTATTAATGTCTTATTACATTACTTTAGTTGGACATTATTTAATAACTCTCAGATAGACGGCGTCTGTGTAAAAAATGATATAATGGCCTACGAGAATTGGTTGAATCGTAGGAAAGGTAAATATTTCCAAACATTCACATTAAAAATATTAAAAATTGTGTAATTTAATTTATGTGTAAGAGCTCAGTTTTAATTTTGTTATTTGTACGATTTTCCAGGCAAGCATAGTGGTAATTTATTTAAGTTGGATAGTAATAAAAGTAATGAAGAAAATATTAAAGAAATAATACAAGGGCTATACCTAAAGAAAACAACCCAAAATGATATATCTCCGACGAATAAAAATGTACCAGATACCAAATTAGGTCTAAGAGGTGTGCAAAGAAATAGTTATGACAGCCGCAGATTGTCCTACTTAAATGCCTTAGTCACACTTTGTAAAGAAGATAGAAATTATTTGGGATTCACTAGTGATGAACTAATGACATGGTAAGTTTATAAAAAGAAAACTACATATTTTAAATGTTTATTGATTAACACAAACAAAATAAAATCAAAAGCACAGTAGGAACCTATTTATTGATACTATAGCAATTTTTCAGCAGGAAAATTGTGTATTGGTATCTTAATCTCAGTAATCTTATGAATTCAATTTGCTAAATAATCTGCTTAATTTTATGTAGATAGTAGTATTATGTAGATTTTTGAGATGATTTCCAATATTTTTTAAATTAAAAATTTTGCTAGTGTCACATTGTTTATATTATTGTAGTTATCTTTTATTAACTTAATTTTACGTGAGAATAATTATTTTACAATTAAAAAGGTTTCTGAAATTGATTACATTTATAGAATAACACCCATTTCAATTTATTTTAACTCTCCCTTGCATTATTTGGTAATAATCACAAATTATTGGGTGTCCCTCCTACCATTTTCATGTCATCTTAACATCTTCTAATTAGTCTTCCCCTTCTCTTCAGTATTATTACTCAAACATATTGTTAATTTTTCAAACATAATATTATTTCAGCATCCGTATAAGTTTAGTGGATGAGTCTATGGTTATCAGGGCAGCAGCACTAAGAGTTTTACGATATTTAATAAAGACTGAAAGTGATGTAGCAACATTCAACACTCTGAAACTGCCATACCTTGTCACTAGGTAAGTAGACTTGTAAGCACAGCATGTATATAAATAACATTTATTATATAACTGGAGTCACAAGACAAACGGGAGTTTATTCTTTAGTTTAAAATGGATATATGATTGATTGATTATTATATTGTAGTAAGATAATTAAATATATTTTATCTGACATCTAAAAAGGGCATGTCTTCCAGTACAAGTTTTAGTATTAGGTTTTGTCATCTGCATTGATAAATTATTTTATAAATTGATCCTCTAGGGTATCACACTAATATTATTAAGGCAAAAGTTTGTGAGTGTGTATGTTTGTTAGTTCTTCATGTCTAAATAGCTGGAGCGATTTTAATAAAATTTGGTATGGAGTTAGCTGACACCCTAACACATAGGCTATGTTTTACTGTGGGAATATATCCTTAATAAACCGTGGGAAACACCTCAGGGCACAGCTAGTATAATCTAAGCCCAGCTAAAATGGACAAAAATCTTTTAGTATATTTATTTGAAAACAAATGTCCATGTTGGAATAAGTTGTCATAAAAGTGCTACATTAATTTATCAATGAATTTGTTTATAGATCCATAGATTTAATGCTTCGCAATGAAGAAGAGAGAGCACAAGCACTTAGAGTCATTCGTCGGGTTGTAGCAGTAGTGGGCGCTGCAATTGGGCAGCCTGCTCAGCGCTATCGATCACTCTACATTGACCAAGGCTTCTTAAGGTGTCTCATTGCTGTCACAAGATCAGGCAATACAGTTGATGGAACAGGGGATAGACTATCAAGACCTGCTATAGCTGCTTTAGCTGAAATATGTAGGTGTTTTCATATTATTTTAATATTAAAATACTCATACACATCAGAGAATTAGTTATTTAGTAATTAATAGAATTAACTAAAATCAACCTTGGCACATTTTCATTTCTGATGCTGATGTTTTTAAAGGATACTGTAGTAAGTTAAGAAAAAAAGGTTATTTTTCTATTTATATTTTTCTTAGGTTTTCACGCACATCACTCATTAAATAAAACTAGTGTTAATATTACACACTAGTATATATTTTTTTTTTTTTTTTATGTTATAGGGGCATACGAGCAGATGGCTCACCTGATGGTAAGTGATCACCGTCGCCCATGGACACTTGCAACACCAGGAGTATCACAAATGCGATGCCGGCCTTTAAGGAAGGAGTACACTCTTTTTTTGAAGGTTTTTGGGTCGTATCGGTCCGGAAATACTGCTTTTTTTTTTTTATTATAGTAAGCAAAATTTTTTTGTAACAGGTGTGTTAAATCCGGAACTTTTCTTATCGTGTGGTGGAGTAACGGCTGTAACTCGACAACTAGCTGAGTGTGCTACGCCTCATATGGCAGAGGCACTCTGTGGAGTTCTATTGCACACGCTAAACGACCCCGTTTCCAGGCTATCGGCGCGAATAGATTTGACGTGCCTCAGTTCCCCATACTGTGATTTCCATTTCCGACCAGCTGGAACAGATAGTAGCAGGTAAAATCTCTGATTGATAGAAATAAACAATTATTAATTCTTAAAGTTTTGTGTCTCTGGGTCTAATCGCCTTAGATATTGTATTCTTCTCGAAGGTTATGTCTTATTCACTACAGGAATTTTAGATACATATCCGGCTTTCAAAAAAAAATTCTCAATAATAAAATCAGTGTGGAATACCGAACATATTATTCTCTATACATACTGTTACTGGTTATGGTTAGCTTTACTTTGTGTGCTGTGGAGTTGGCCTGGCCTACTTCACTTCCGTTATCCCTGTTTTAGATATTTGAATATTCTTGATTTCAATTAAGAAAATCATCTGATTTTGATATCTTCATCTTTCCTAAGTTTCCGAGTCTGCCAGTGAATATGTTACTTCCTTAATGCAGGGACGAGCGCGAAATGTGGTTTACTTGTAGCCGGTTAGCTTTACTTTGTGTGCTGCGGATTTGGCCAGGCTTACTTCACATATGTCATCCTTGTATTAGATGCTTTAATATTCTTGATTTCAATTAAGAGAAATATCTTCGCCTTCTCTAAGTTTTCGGGTCTGCCAGTGAATGTGTTATTTCCTTGATGCAGGGACGAGCGCGAAATGCGGTTTACTTGTAGCCGGTTAGCTTTACTTTGTGTGCTGCGGAGTTGGCCGGGCCTACTTCACTTCTGTCACCCGCATAGTTCTGGTGGTCTGCACGCGCTTGTCGCTGCTCTGTACTTGCCGCGGCTGGAGGTCCGAGTGAGTACGAGGAGTCTTTAACTATATTAATTTTGTAAAGTGGAGGTAGATTTGTGTTTTTATATGTTTGTAATGAATAAACTCAAATACTACTGTTACAATGCCAAAAATTCTCCCTTTCGGCCGTCTACGAAACCGTAGTTTTGTAACTGGTTTCGGTGAAGGAATTATTGTTCCTTTACGAAACCAAGTTAATATTTAATGGTAACGTACAAGGAATTTATTGTTATAGTTTCAATGCAAGAAATATTTTTCTATGTAATTAGTTTCTATGGAGGAATATTTTTTCATTATACAAGGAATATTATGATTGACAAATAAAAATTTATATAAAGTAAGTCTGTACCAAGAAAACATCAAAACTACACAATAACTTAATTTTGAAAACGTTATATATTTTATAACTAAAATAGAAATTGATACTGAACAAAATATGTGACCCGCATCTCATAGACCCAAATAAACAAATTGATGTCGCAAAACGATTGCCTAACGAATGCACAATCCAGTGTAACAAAGTAATTAGTTTAAATAAAACAAAAAAATAAAGCACTTAGTTTATTAGTATATCAAATGTTACTAACAATATGGAACCTAAGTTCTGAAATAAATGATTTGAATTGAATTAAAAGCATACGGCATATGATTTCGAGGTAGTGGTTGTTCAACCGCCGCTTGTGACAATGGTCTAATTCATGTTTTGATACTATTAAAAATAAAACAACATTTTTCAGTTTGCAAAGAGATAATATTTCTATTCTTGTTTCAGAAAGCTATATTAGATCTGATGTATGAATTGGTCGGGTTACCGCAACCTGAATGGACAGATGAAATTTCTGTAGCTTTGGACGCAGTCGATCCCTCCGATTTTCAAGTGAGTAAAAACAAAATAAATTGACTTCAGCCGTGACAGTTTAGCAGACACGGAACCCTTTTTTCCCGCAACCCTATTGTTAGTAATTATATATTTTTTAATTAAATAACTATTTCATAGGACTCTTGGAGATTAAACGAAGGTTTTGTTGCTACCGAAGGCACAGCCATTCTACCTCACCTTAGTGCTACTGGACCAGATATAAGTGAAATTCATCTTGCCCTTTTACTTCAGTGTTTCCTTGAGGTATGTTTAACTATTTTGTGAGTGAAATAAAATATACTTTAATACACTAATTCATTTAAAACTTTTTCAGGCTGGATTATTAGATGGATTAGCTGAAGTGATTGTAACAAGTGATACATTTATATCGGTCAGAGCGACAGTTTTATTAGGCCAATTATTACATTTAATACACTTTTTCCTGCCATCTCAAATATGTAGTTCGTCACCTGCGCTTCCATCGTTGATGTCTCAAGCGTCAATGGGGAAGCCGCAAGCACTCGCGGCAATCGCCGCTTTACGCAGGCTTCACTCAATGTTCGAAGCGAGGCCTGCAAGCAGTAGTTTGTTTCTAGACCATATTATACAGTATTGTAGCGGTGCATTTAAAGAGAAAGTGGAAGATACGACTAAGAGTAGAAAGGAGAAAGACAACGCCAACATGGCGAAGCCTAAACTCGACTGTACCTTGCATAAAGACAACAGCATCGAGTTTTTGGATGAATCCGATAACGAAAACGAGCCGAAAAGGCACAGTGTAGGTTCGCGCGCCGATGTGACGTCCCGGAACGTCGGCGCGTTAGTGAAAAGCAAAAGTGTCAGTTCACGGACCAGTGCGGCTGTGAGTAAAGTTACGAAATCGGCTAAATTGAATAGACTGAAACTTTTTGAACGCGACAGTGATAGTTTGATACGGTGCACTTTAGTCATGCAGAACAAAGACGGCAACACTTGGAATTGGGAAATAATAAGGACGATTCTGAAGGTACTAGCTAATACGTTTTAAACATTGTTCTTTTACTCTGTTTACTATAACAGTTTTTTTACTGAAATGTATTGTTTTAGGAAAACGATAATTCTCCATTGTTAAATTTGAACGACAGTAGTCATAGAGCATGGGTAGGGCGCATCATCAACTATCTTAAACCTTCTTCCAATAAGTATTCACACACGGATCTTTCGACCACGGGCCACGGTCATTCTGCCACTCGTGCTGGCTGTCAGCTCATCAGGCATCTGTTAAAGCATAACGACGTAAGTATAAAAACGTAAAGCCGGGTTCCCAGCGCGTGTTTTTCCCTACAAAATCAACAAAAACATATCAACATTCAACAAAACCATCTATACAAAACTTTGTTTCACAACAATATTTGTATGAATCAACAATTTTTTTTGCTTTCCGAACCCGATGGAAAACACGTACACAAAACACACCCGCGCGGGTAGAGGGGCGAGAGGGAGGTATTGTTTCATAGGCCATATTTTTGACCACTCGCTACTAGCGGGAGCTGCGTAGAACCTACGCTCCGAGTGAAACTTTTAACTCTGACGTTTGAATGTTGACATAAATGCATAAAACTTGTGTCAAATTTGACATTTGTTGCACCTGGATCATAGGTTTGGAATGCAGCCCTGTGTATTTTGTGTACGACAACCGCGGTAGCAGTAGACGGCATGTGTAGAAACATGTTTCCGAAACGGAGTTTTGTGATGTTTTTTTGTTGAATGTTTTTTTTGGAGAAATCTTTTGCAGGAGACCCGGCTAAATATGTACAAAGAAAAACATCACGCAATTCGTAAACTTCTTTAATTTTCTCGCAATTTGTTTGTTCATAGGCTGATTGCCAAAGGATCTTGGAGGAATTATTCCTCGACGTGAGTCGCCAAATTGAAGCTATAGAGACAGGATTGAAAGCACATGGCTGCTTGTTCAGCCCACAGCACATGTGTAATACAATGTGCCAGATGTATTTCTTATTTATTGGACAACTATGCCACTCGCACACAGGTCTAAGGCTCTTTAAGGAGACACGATTGTATGAAAAGTGAGTAGTGCAAAATCTGATATACTTTTAAAATTACTGTTTAAGAACAGACAATAAATGTTCGGTTATATTTAATTGGCTGCTAATTTTACAGAAGATTGCAACCAAACAATGTTATAACTTATAGATATAATCCAGCAAGTAATATCGCTGAAACTACAGTGTATTGTGTACGTTATCCCAGTCAGTAAAATAAGGCTGAAATTATTTTTCCTTCACGGAAATGATCAAGTACTGACGATAACTAACCTTTTTTTCGTAGATAATAATCGTCTTACTTGTGTGACACAGTTTTCCATTGCTGACTTTTATATGTTACTGTGTGGTACATAAATAACAGAAACCACTTCTTGATAGTGCAATTCAAAATTTATTTCGCTTGTGAAGTTAGCAGCAAGTAACATTTGGTAACTTCACAGTCACCTTCATTTTATTACTTTTTATTATTAATGTATAGTGCGGGAATGTTGTTATCTATTGATTCTAAATGACACAGTAAGATTTTGCAACTGTACGTGTGTTTGCTTTAAATATGAATTTATATTTTAGATATTGAGGAATGGTTTTCCTTGTTTCAGTCTATTGGAACTTTCGACAAAGACGCATCACAGTTGCTACGTGAAATTAGTGATATCAAGTTTAGACTACACCCTCGATTCTTACCCTCGTGATATTCTTGCCAAAACTCTGACTTGCAACATTCAAGCCTCTAGATTGTACACTACTCAGTTCCTAAACGTATTACTAAGGGCGACGCGAAAGTCTCGAGAGTTAGTAAGACGTAAATCGAAGCTAAAGATGAATTATATACAAGAGCAGTTGAAAACAGCCCATAGAGATGACGCCGACATGAATCATGGTGTGGATATGGATACGTGGATATTGCAAATGTTAGTTGGACAAGTGAAAGACGAGTCGAAAGAAGTCGTGAAGTATGCCTTGGCCATTTTGGAAGAAGCGTACAGTGTGCCAGTAAGTAATGAACTCTTTAAATAATGTGGCAATTCAGAACCAAGATAGTAGATAGATAGATATACTCTTTATTACTCACACATACACAATTAACGGGCTTACAAACACAGATAGTAAACTATGGTGGGTATAGATGTTCTTATCGCTAAAAGCAATCTCTTCCAGACGACCTTTAAGTCAAAGAATAGTTAAAGAGAGACAGAGAAGTAATGTGCCAGCAAAATATAAAACAAAATAAAAAAAATATATAATAAATAATAAAATATAATATGTAGTAGATTCGTTTCTTTTAAAAAATAAGTTAACATAGGCTTGACTGTACCTTTTATGTTTTTTTTATTTAGGCATACTTTGAGAAGCTGAAGTCGATGAGAGAGACGCTGTGTCATAACTGTCGATTAGATAAGTACGCAGAGCCTTCCAGCTTGGATTTCTCAACGGTGGGAGACCGCGGTTACTTGTTATGGCTCGGCCTAGAAGTTGCTGCAGCCGCTGATACTTCTGATGTCAAATCTGTTGCCTTCCTCAAGAAACATTTGGAGTTTTGGACAAAATTTTATAACTACAGGTAAGATATCGTATCAATCATACTGTTACTTGAGCTAGATGCAACTGGGGCTGAGTGATTTATATGTATTCTGAAATATTAAGAAAATTTTTGATTAACCTCTGTTCATCACTTTTGATTAATCATTTTCTAACACACTACTAGATACGACAGTAAAACGAAAACTACCTGGAGTTGCATCTATTCCAGCTTCTTTGATAAACGTTTTACTCCAACCAGCAATAATTGTTCTATTAGCTGATTTCGCTTTTACTGTGACTGAGACAAATAAACGATCACTGGAATAAAGTAACCTGCGAGCCGAACCTAACTCGAACAGCTTTATAAGCCAACCTATTGGATGTAGTGCAGCACTTTGAGAATTTCTTAGCAATCTCCATCATGATTGGATATGAGTTGCAGAATCAGTCTTAGTACCAAAATGAGGCCAAAACACTATAAAATCCTCTTCAATAATAAAACTTTTTATAGCGACGCTCAACAGTGTCAAGTCATGCTCCCTACGCCCAGAGCATAATAATAAAAGACCCGCACTTATTCGAGATACTACATATAAGCTGCTACTTTCAAGAGTTCCTTTATTAAACCACAACACCAATGATTTAGGCTCCTTCCACCACTGCATTTCTTCCAAAACCTGTGTGGGCAAGGGGTGAGTACCCTGAACCGATAGTTTCAATAGATAATTGATGTGAACCAAGAAATAACGAAAATTTAATCGAACCGTTGGTACAACCAGTCGTGCGAAATTCAAATCTTCGCTGATGCTTTGAACCTCACGCCGTGTTGCCTTCTTCCGCTGAAGAAATTTCGACAGCATCCTTTGTAGACTTGCAATTTTGTTCTCTGGTAAAAACTTGTGGTTGTTCCAGGGATCCCAAATCAAACCTATATATTCTATAATCTTTTGTAGAACTAAAATTGATTTTTATTTGTTGACCTGCGAACCGCACTGTTCTAGAGTCTTTATTACGATATCCCTGTGCTTTATCAACATGTCCCGGTCCTGAAACACTAGTAAATAATCGTCCAGAAAAACAACTACTCGAATCCCTAGTTCCCTGAACACCCCTGTTGTCCAATTCTCCCGTCAGTCCCGTGTGCTGCTTATATGATGCCAACACATACTGCTTGATAGACAGTGTTGAGCGTACCTAGGGGTCTGGATATTCTGATTTGTATTTAAGTCATTTGAGAAAACTCCGAGTCCAGCTCCGTGGTTAGTCTTTGAATCATCAGTGTAAATCCTGATTTCTTTCGGACCCGAGTGCTTATAGTTCTATGTTGTAGTGTTTTAGGAAACAGTGTGTTTTCATGGTTCTGTCTGTCTGTGTCGTCTATATAAATTATTAATAGAAAAATGCTATTATTCAGATTCAGATTGCAGAGTATTTGAGGATAAGTAGGCTGAATGGACTTCAATATATGAAATTTTGATTTTGGACATGTATTATATATTTTGATGATTTATTTAATTTGTTTGACATTGTACGATACTGATTACTGGAGGATCCTGAAAGCAAATATTGGACATTTACTATTTTACATTTTGATTATTAATTTTATTATGAATCGACACCAATGGTTTCGATTCTGGCATGATTCTCTAAAGCTAAACTTAAATTTGACAGCAGTGTATCCTTGTCATTCTCTATACAGAATGAAAAGGACAGACTGATGTTAAATTTAGTTTTAAGTTTAGAGAATCCTGCCAGAATCGACACCATTGTATGATTATTGATTATTGGAATCTTGTGAGAAAACAGATTTTTAACATTGGACATTTATTTTTTACCTTTTGATGGATAATTTTATATTTATTTGACATTGTATAATATTGAGTATTAAATGATCTTGGCATGATACTGATAAGCTGACAAGCATGACACCATAATTTTAATTTGATTTAAAAACTGTTGCATGCTGTTTAACAGTAAAATATGTGAGACATGAGAATAATCAAACACCTTTTATACCATATTTTTTTATGCAATAAATTATTATTATTATAAGAGCTGCGTCGATGCTATGGAAGATGGTATTATCAAAAGCGCCTTCTATGTCAATAAAAACCGCTAGTGCGGAGGATTTATAGTATACTTTTTTTTTACACTGCTCCCCACTTTGTTGCAGGTCTTTGTTTTTCGTATTTAGTTTTTTATCTTTTCATTATTTTATGTTTATGCTTCTACAGCACGTTGGTTTTATCGTGCTTATATACTTTTTTACACGTTTTTCTTTTCGTGTATCTTTTGGTCTTTTTTGTTTTCATACAATTTTTATTCTATTACATTTTTCTTATCAAATTTTTAATTTACACATATATTGGTTCTTCATCATATTTTCATTATTTCGTTATACATTTCTATATTTTCTCTTATTCTATTATACTATATGTAGATTTGAGTCCATTTTTTAGTTTACTCATTATACATTCTTAATGCTAATTCTTTTCTACTATTTGTTCCTTAGTCTAGTTACATGAGTATCTTATTCTAATATCGCATTTCCTTGTTTCTTTGTCTAACATTTACTTATATTTGCGTCTTAATCTAATTACTTTTGTATCTTAATCTAATTACATTTGTGTCTTATACTAATTACATATCTTATTCCACTTTTACATTTTCCTTGTTATGTAGCTACTTCCATTTTACATTTTAACTTTATATTGTGCTTTTTGTTTGACTCCACTCGGAGTCTTTTATGGTTGAGTGAGTCCATCATGTTCACAGGTTCAGCTTCCCCAAGACAGGGGTTCCAAATATCATATTTGCAGCCCCTGTTTGCTTTGGCTGCTCCTGTGCGCACTTTTCCAATTCTCACTCTTCCATTTACATTTTCTCCGAGTAGAGTCCCGTCTATTTTGTGGTCACCGGTTCTCTTCTTTCCTTTCCTATCTAATTGGTTTCTCATTTCATTATGAAATTTTCTGCAATTAGCTATGCTGGTTTTCCTACTTGTTCCTTTCTCTACTATAATTTTTTCCTTATTTACGCCCTTAGCAATGGTACGCGAATTTCGACCTAGCTATTTTGTCCCAAATTGCCATTTGTGGGCACGTGTTCCTAAAAGTATTGTGTTCTATATCTTTGCTATTGGCTTTTTTTACAGTTCTGGCAGCATGGCACTTCCTCTTTTTTTTGTACATGTGGCATATTTGTGGCATGTCTCCTTCGCAATGGCTGCAGCTGTCCAGCTGCTCCTGACAAACCCACTTGATATGGCTGTAGCCCAAGCAGCGGGAGCACTGGATAAGCGGGGTCTGTTTTTCTACCCTGGATTGCTCCCAGCGCAGTTGAACAGTCCCCGCCTCTGTCAGCTGCTGCCATATTGCCGGGGCCACTCTCTGGACCACGTGTGCCACATGTGGATTTCTAGTAGTTTTTTCAAATACTGCCTCTATTTCATCTTTTCCTTCTTCATTGCTGTTCCCTTTCTTTCCCTTCCCTATCTTTCTCCTTACTGCTTCTATTACTTGTTCCTTTTTGTTTTCTCCCCTTGCATACTTCACTATCACCAACGGATTTTTATTCTTTGCTCTTTCCACTATCAATTTCTTATTCCTTGCTAATTCCTCTTTCAGTCTCTCCATTGCATTCTCCCTAGCAAACCCTATTATAACCTTCTGTCCCTTAGCCTTTCTTATTTTCTTCACTTCCATCCATTCGCCTTTATCGTCTACAGATTTTTTGACCTCTTCGATTACCTCTTCGCTCGTCTGTGATACATCCGTTGATGCTACTATGATGGAGTGTAAAGTTTGCATCTTAGTAGGTGGCCCTTTTACTTTCTCTGCATACGTATCCTTGTTAATTTTTATCCATCATTTCTTTACGATACCTTCTATGCCCCTTTTTTCCACTGTCGTTTGTATCCCTGCTTCTTTTTGCCTAGTTTCTATTGTTTCTATAATCCTTTTTTCTTCCATTATTTCTTTTTTGTTTCCTATAATTATTTCTTTCATAATCCTTTGTTCTTCTAGCATGCTTTTGCTTTCCTCCACTGTTTTACTTAGTATATTTTCTATTTCCCCCATGTTTTCTTTTCCTTCTTTTGCTACTTCCCTACCTTCTGTCACTATTTCCCTTACATTCTTTTGTTTTTGTTCTGCCTGCTTACTGAGCTGCTTTTGCTCATTCATTATGTTTCTTCGAGTGAAAATTTAGAGTTAATTGACTTCTTGAGTGCGGCTAGAAATTGTAATAATATTAATAAATGTTTGTGGTTAGATACGTTCGATTGGTGGAGGCGGGCGTGCACGAGGCATTGACGCTGTCGGAGGGCGGGGTGCAGAGAGCGCGTGCGCGCCGTGCTGCCCGCCCGCCGCCCCACCTGCACTCTGCGGTGGCAGCGCGCGCGCCGCCCGCCCTGGCACGCGCTCTGCTCGCCACCGTGCTGCCCGCGCACTACAGGGTATGTGGCCTCACATCCTCTACACCACCACTAGGAGCCGCCCGCCCGCCGCCTCACCTGCACTCCGCGGTGGCAGCGCGCGCGCCGCCCTCCCCTGGCACATGCTCTGCTCGCCACCATGCTGCCCGCGCACTACAGGGTATGTGGCCTCACATCCTCTACACCACCTTAGTCTTAGTCTTAGTAGAACGGCGGGCTGTTTCCGCAACTCGACATCTGGTGCCTATTTTGCGTGGGGATTGGCATCAGTCCTGCCATCCCAGCTCCTCCAGAAAGCTCAGCAGTCCCCGAACGTTACTGCAGGCCTCTACTATAGTCTTCGGGCTTCCCATTAGAGAAATCCTTTGTCTTGCAACGCCCGTGCACTCCAGCAGCACATGGGCGCTCGTCTCCTCGTCCTCCAGGCAGGCTCTGCACAGAGGGCTGTCAGAAATACCTATATTACAAAGGTGTTTGTTGAAATAGCCGTGACCCGTGAGTATACCCACGATTTGTTTTAAGGCTTGTCTAGGAAGTCTGATTAACTTACGTGTTAGCTGCAGGTTTACCTTGGGAACGGCTTCCCTAGCTTGCCTGCAGTCTGTGAGTTCTGTCCAGTATTCGTTATGTTGTCGTTGACAGCGCTCCCTTATCCATGTTCGCAGCTGTCGATAGGGTATGGGTACAATAGGCTCCGGACCAATGGCCGTCCTGCTAGAACCCTCCCCTGGCTAAGCAGTCCGCCGCATCGTTACCCCTTGAGCCGCTGTGTCCTTTAATCCACTGCAAAGTCAATCTATTGTTGTTAGCAATATTAGTCAACTTACAGTGGCATTCATAAATTAAGCCTGATGTCATTATATTGTTGTCCAGTGCCTGTAGGACAGAAGCGCTGTCAGAGAGAATACGAATGTGTTTTCCTCTTACCTTGCGACAGTCTATCGCTTCAGCGGCCTTGATGATGCCCACACACTCTGCCTGGAAGACCGTGTTATAGGCTCCCAATGCTGTTGAGATGTGTATATTTAGGTCTTCAGAGAAGACACCCGAACCTGTACCGTAGTTGGTTTTTGAGCCGTCTGTGTAGACCCTCAACTCCTTTTGCAGACAGTGGTCCGGAGTGTCTTCATAAAGTTGAATTTTGTATTTTTTGTCGAATACGTACGTCTTTGGAATGAGGTCGTTTACTGCAGCAAAGTACGGAAAGTACCTGTATATGTCTGCTAAAATGCTGGTGTGTGGGGAGCTGTTGTCCCTCCATAGCCCCAGCATGCTTAGTCGTGTGGCTGTACAAGCAGCTTCCTGTTGTATAAACAAATGTAGTGGTCTCACGTCAAGTATAGTCTCCAGTGCTGATGTGGGAGTGGTTTTCATGCAGCCAGTGATTGCACAGCAGGCCCGCCTCTGGAGACGTCTTAACTTATTAATTGTCGTTACCTGGTTTGTCTTTGTCCACCATACTACTGCTGCATAGCTGATGATGGGCCTAATTATGGTCGTGTACAGCCACCTAACAATGAGCGGTGATAGTCCCCAGGTTTTGCTAATCATTTTGCGGCATTGCCAGAACATGATGTTGGTCTTAGTAGTAGTTTTGTCTATGTGTGAACCCCAGTTCAGTTTGGAATCTAGGGTTATTCCTAGATACTTTACCTCGTTGGAGAGCCTTAGTGTCGTGTTAAATAGTTTCGGTAGCCGATAGTCGCCTAAGGCTCTTTTATTCGTGAACATGACTAATTCTGTCTTCACTGGATTCACCTTAAGGCCGTAGTCGTCACACCATTTTTCAACTACCTTCATTGCCCCCCGTGTAATGTCACAAGCGGTGCTCGCAAACTTACCCGGGATTAGGATTGCCAGGTCATCCGCATAGCCCACCGTGTGGAAGTGAAGGTTGTTTAGTTTGGTAATTAAGTCATTTACGACTACATTCCATAGCAGAGGCGATAGTACTCCTCCTTGAGGACATCCTTTAGTCGCCAATGCTCTGAGATGGTTGTCGTCTTGCAGTCTGATTAGTCTGTTACGGAGCATGTTACTTACCCAGTATATAATGTTCTCATCGACTCCGTGTTTGCCAAGTGCGTTTACAATACTGGCGAAGCTTGTTTTGTCAAACGCGCCTTCTATGTCTATAAAGGTGCCCAGACATAGCTCTTTTCGTCTGAGACTATCCTCTATTTTACTTACGACTGCATGTAGTGCAGATTCTGTCGACTCGCCTGGACAATAGGCGTGTTGGTTTAGATGTAGTGGAAAGCTGGTTAATTGGTTATCTCTCAGCTCTCTGTCACACAGTCTTTCTAAGGTTTTTAGCAGAAATGATGAGAGACTTATTGGCCTGAAAGATTTCGCTTCGTTGTAGTCGGCCTTACCTGGCTTTGGTATGAAGATTACCTTGACCTCCCTCCAAGGCTTCGGCGTGTATCTGAATGCAAGACACGCTCTCAGGAGGGGCACCAGGATAAGGATTAGCGCTTCACCTGCCCATTGAAGCAACGCCGGAAAGATGCCATCTGGTCCGGCTGCTTTAAATGGCTGGAAGCTGTTAATGGCCCACCTTAACTTGTCCATGGACACTGTCCTCATTGCAGTGTTCCAGGATTGTTCCGTGGGGGTCCAGCAAGTGTCATTCCAGGTGTGTGTCGTGTCTATGATGCAGCCTGGAAAGTGGGTTTCGAGCAGTACCCTCTGTGCCTCCTCCACTGTCTCTGTGAGGGAGCCATCAGCTTTCCTGAGCTGTGAAAGGTCTTGTTGTCTGTCTTTGGAAAGCAGTTTCCTTACCTTATTTGCCTTGGTGCATGAGTCTATTTCAGAACAAAATTTCCTCCAAGACCCATTGCTCCAGTATCGGATGCGTTTTTTATAAAGAGCCTTGGCATCTTTATACGCATCCCAGTCTTGGTCGTCACATGTGTTCATGGCCCTGTTAAAAAGTCTTCTTACCTTTTTCCTCAGTTTGTATAGCTCGGGGCCCCACCACGACTGGCTGGCATCCGAGTTGGATGATGGTGTACTGAGAGGACAGGCTGTCTGATAGCATGAGATAATTACCCTTGTTAATTCCTCAGCTGTTTCGTCTATCTTATTGGTTTCGTCTAAGCTTTCAGCCTGCATATGTTGCAGTGATAGTGTTACCTGTCTGCGATATTGGCTTCTATTCGTTTTCTTGGGTATGCGTCTTGGTGACTGGGTAACACGCTGTACCGCGATGTTGAACCTAATCCACCTGTGGTCAGAGCAGGATGCCTCTGGGGAGACGTGCCAGTCAGAGGTCAATCCCGCTGCTCTCCTTGATGCAAGAGTAAGATCGATGATAGATCTACCTCTTCTTGTTACGAAAGTAGGTTCAGAACCTGTGTTTATTATGTTAAGGTTTGTGGTAAATAGGTAATCTACTAATTCCTCACCTCGTTTGTTGCTTTTCGTCATGCCCCACAGTTGATGGTGGGCGTTGGAGTCGGTGCCGATGATCAGCGCCTTGTCAGTTTGTTCACAGTGTCTCACCAGCTCAGCCAGTTCCCCTGACGGAGCCTCCTCTCCCTCAGGCATGTAGGCAGAGGCAACTACCAGGACAGGTACACTTGGATTTTGCTGTTGTATTATTTGTATTGTTGTTATGTCGCTAGAACAAAATTGTGTCATTATTTTTGCCTGCAAGTGTCTTGAACATACAATGCAGGTCCGCGGTGCGCGGTTACCTGGGTTGTAAAAATTCTTACCACCGGTGTTGTTGAGGCCACATATGGTGTTGGATCTGATCTACGGCTCCTGGACCAGAGCAATAGCCCCGTCGTTGTTCTCCTCCAGCCACTTCCTTAGTTGAGCCGTTGCGGTGCGACTGTGCTGGAGGTTTGTCTGCAGGAGCTTAATTGTCTTCTGTTGGGGCGCCATCTGAGGCGAGAAGCACATCGACATCAACCTCCTGACTGATGTCGATCCCCCCAAGTTTCTCCGCCCACTCGTCAACCACGTCTGTGTCCCCCTTCTCCTCAGATGTGGACTCCATTGCAACTGGAGTGTCTGTGATGGTCTGTTGCGTCACGGCTGGTCTAGACGTGCTCTGTACCGGAGTAGATGTTTTTTCCTCTAGAGGTGGCAGGCTCTCCAGGTACTGACCACCCTGGTTCCTGAACCTCACGTATACAGAGCCCATCAAGTAGCAGAGGCGTCTGCCTCTAGCTAGTAGCCCCTCCGCGACGTCCCTGGTCGTGCTGAACACCAAAAAGGTGCTATCGTCACCTGCGATGGCCTTGTGCAGGATCCATCGGTCAACCTCTGCGAACTTGTTCTGGTAGCGCAGCAGCTTGGCGATTGTGTGTGGTTCTCGCGTCCCCGGTATGAGGAGGCCACAAACCACTCTCTTCGGCCTGTCGATCTGGCGCTGCACTACTAGGTCGTCTAGCCCCGGTATTTTTAGGCTGTCCACTACCTTCCTGACCCACTCCAGTGTTTTGGGTGTTTCGCACCAGAGGCTCAGGGCGCCGTCCCCAATGATGGGTTTTCCCTTAAGGTTTGGGGCTTCGTCCGTTGAGGATCCTGCTGTTAGCAGTTCCTCCACAACGGCCTCCTCCAGGGCCTTAAGGACCAACCCAGCCTGGGTGGCACTAATGTGTCCCGTCTTTTTGCTGGTGATAATCACCAGCAGGTCTGCAGTAGCTGCGTCGGCGAAGGAGACCTTCCCAGAAGAGCGACGCGGTTCGTCGTTTTTGGGCTTTTTATATTGCCCCCTCGGTGACACCGTGTCATCAAGTCTGGGCCTCTTTGAGGCCTCCTGTCTGTCTGTCCGGTCTTGGTCTGTCTTTTTTCTGTCCGTCTGTCAGTCCATTTCCTTTGTCCGTCTGTCTGTCCCTGGTCCTGGGTTCCTTCCTGACCCGCTTCCGCTTGTCTGGTGGTCTCCGCCGAGAGAAGTCTGTCGCGGGCCTTCCTAGCGCGTTTACCGTGCTTCAGTCGGCCCGTGTTCGGTTTGGTGTCCTGAGCTGGATTCCTGGTTTTGTCCTCCACGCGCCGATTTTTACGTCGGTGCGTAGCGACTTGTCAGGAGTCAAGCTCGTCTGTCGTGTCCTGTGGTTGCTGCCTGAAACCGGGTTGCCCCTTCACCAGGTCTGCCAACTCACTGGACGTAGATGGTCTATTGTCTGTCTCCGTCGGCCTGAAACCGGGTTTCCCCTTCACCAGGATCAACGACGGTTGTCTGTCGGTCTCTGAGTCTTGCCTGAAACCGGGTTTCCCCTTCACCAGGTCATCGTCTGTGTCTGTCTTTTTAAATTGGGATCTGTTATGTGCCATTTCCACGTGTCTAATAAAATTCATCCTCACCAGTCCCACCCGCCACGGAGCCACAACTGGGATGCCGATATTAAAAATCAAGGCACCAGGATTGTGGTGAGGATATAGGGGCACAGGGTTTTCCTCTCAGCGCGACATCGGGAACTGCAGCTACATGGCTGGTAGTCGATCCCAACTACCAGTGGTTCCATGCAACCTTGCTCCTTCAGCATGGCCGGAGTCCATCGCTAGATGTTAAGAGCGACCCCCACACCCCTCGCCGGCGACCCATAGACGGTAGACGCCCTGACCGTTGCCTCGTGGTCGGCTACACCACGAAGTTGCCGTCTCGCTTGAAATCCGGGCCAAAGTGCTGTGTTGCTTCCGGGGTGCCGCAGCTACCCTTTCCGCTCAAACACCAGGATCCCTTCATCCCTGCTTACGGCGATGCTGCGCAAGTCCTAGCGCAGGAGAGGCTGACGCACCACCAGGCCGCCTCCCTACTCCTGGTGGATGGGGAGGAAAATCGTCTGACCATTTCAGTTACGTCTGTTTCATAGGGAATCAGACCAATAACGGGCGGCAACCACGTGAAGGAAAACAGCCAGGCTTGTCTGGGGGATCTACACGACCTGCGCTCGCTCCCCAGACCATTCACCAGATTACCAGACGGGACGCAGAATGGTAAAATAGGTGATGTGTTAGGTTTAGCCGTCTTTGTGCTATATATAAACCTAACACATCCCCCGCCTCTACACCACCACTAGGTGCCGCCCGCCCGCCGCCCCACCTGCACTCCGCAATGGCAGCGCGCGTGCCGCCCGCCTTGGCACGCGCTCTGCTCGCCACCGTGCTGCCCGCGGACTACAGGGTATGTGGCCTCACATCCTCTACACCACCACTAGGTGCCGCCCGCCCGCCGCCCCACCTGCACTCCGCGGTGGCAGCGCGCGCGCCGCCTGCCCTGGCACGCGCTCTGCTCGCCACCGTGCTGCCCGCGCACTACAGGGTATGTGGCCTCACATCCTCTACACCACCACTAGGTGCCGCCCGCCCGCCGCCCCACATGCACTCCACGGTGGCAGCGCGCGCCGCCCGCCCTGGCACGCGCTCTGCTCGCCACCGTGCTGCCCGCGCACTATAGTGTATGTGGCCTCACATCCTCTACACCACCACTAGGTGCCGCCCGAGCGCCGCCCCACCTGCACTCCGCGGTGGCAGTGCGCGCGCCGCCCGCCCTGGCACGCGCTCTGCTCGCCACCGTGCTGCCCGCACACTACAGGGTTTGTGGCCTCACATCCTCTACACCACCACTACGTGTCGCTCGACCGCCGCCCCACCTGCACTCCGCGATGGCAGGGCGCGCGCCGCCCGCCCTGGCACGCGCTCTGCTCGCCACCGTGCTGCCCGCGCACTACAGGGTATGTGGCCTCACATCCTCTACACCACCACTAGGTGCCGCCCGACCGCCGCCCCACCTGCACTCTGCGGTGGCAGGGCGCGCGCCGCCCGCCCTGGCACGCGCTCTGCTCGCCACCGTGCTGCCCGCGCACTACAGGGTATGTGGCCTCACATCCTCTACACCACCACTAGGTGCCGCCCGACCGCCGCCCCACCTGCACTCCACGGTGGCAGCGCGCGCCGCCCGCCCTGGCACGCGCTCTGCTCGCCACCGTGCTGCCCGCGCACTATAGTGTATGTGGCCTCACATCCTCTACACCACCACTAGGTGCCGCCCGCCCGCCGCCCCACATGCACTCCACGGTGGCAGCGCGCGCCGCCCGCCCTGGCACGCGCTCTGCTCGCCACCGTGCTGCCCGCGCACTATAGTGTATGTGGCCTCACATCCTCTACACCACCACTAGGTGCCGCCCGAGCGCCGCCCCACCTGCACTCCGCGGTGGCAGTGCGCGCGCCGCCCGCCCTGGCACGCGCTCTGCTCGCCACCGTGCTGCCCGCACACTACAGGGTTTGTGGCCTCACATCCTCTACACCACCACTACGTGTCGCTCGACCGCCGCCCCACCTGCACTCCGCGATGGCAGGGCGCGCGCCGCCCGCCCTGGCACGCGCTCTGCTCGCCACCGTGCTGCTGCGCACTACAGGGTATGTGGCCTCACATCCTCTACACCACCACTAGGTGCCGCCCGACCGCCGCCCCACCTGCACTCTGTGGTGGCAGGGCGCGCGCCGCCCGCCCTGGCACGCGCTCTGCTCGCCACCGTGCTGCCCGCGCACTACAGGGTATGTGACCTCACATCCTCTACACCACCACTAGGTGCCGCCCGAGCGCTGCCCCACCTGCACTCCGCGGTGGCAGTGCGCGCGCCGCCCGCCCTGGCACGCGCTCTGCTCGCCACCGTGCTGCCCGCACACTACAGGGTTTGTGGCCTTACATCCTCTACACCACCACTACGTGCCGCTCGACCGCCGCCCCACCTGCACTCCGCGATGGCAGGGCGCGCGCCGCCCGCCCTGGCACGCGCTCTGCTCGCCACCGTGCTGCCCGCGCACTACAGGGTATGTGGCCTCACATCCTCTACACCACCACTAGGTGCCGCCCGACCGCCGCCCCACCTGCACTCTGCGGTGGCAGGGCGCGCGCCGCCCGCCCTGGCACGCGCTCTGCTCGCCACCGTGCTGCCCGCACACTACAGGGTTTGTGGCCTTACATCCTCTACACCACCACTACGTGCCGCTCGACCGCCGCCCCACCTGCACTCCGCGATGGCAGGGCGCGCGCCGCCCGCCCTGGCACGCGCTCTGCTCGCCACCGTGCTGCCCGCGCACTACAGGGTATGTGGCCTCACATCCTCTACACCACCACTAGGTGCCGCCCGACCGCCGCCCCACCTGCACTCCGCCCGCCTTGGCACAAAAATGTGTGAAGTTAAATCAAGTCGTTACCTATATATCTAACGCATGTTTTTAAATAGTTAACAAGGTAGTACTTATTCAAAAAGTCATCTATTTATTATTATTTTTATTTTCTTTTCAGTAGTTTAGGTATTAATATAAAATTCATGTACTTTTATTCGTAGACTATCTAAAATTGGCAGTGGGTGCATTGTCAATGTCCGGCATTAAGATTGTGATATACACAAATGCAGTGTCATATCCTAGTCTCATAATTTGTTTTACGTACATAATACACAGAAACCAAATACATATATAGAAGCCTATATACAATAATAATCAATGACGTTAATATCGCAGGTTAACGAAAGCAATAATTCCCGTATGTTGTTTTGGATGCTGGTGGCAACGGCCTGAGATCGCTAAATTAAATATTTATACAATCACCGAAGCAAAGTTTATAATATTTGATGAAACTAAAGGCGCAGAATAAAATTTCCATAGCGTTAGGTACAGCACCATAGCAATCTTATTTATTATCAATTTAAATTATAGATTACCAATATGTAGATGTTTTTCATTCCCTTTTAAAGCGTTCACCAGTTACAGGTTGCAGGCTTTCGTTCTACCCTTTTTTATTGGTAGTGTAAAGCGCGAATAAAGAGTACTTCCACCTCCACCACCACGAAATTATAAATGGACGTCATCGCTAATGTTTTTTAATAAAAATAGGCTTTTACTATAATCGAAGTAAGCTAGAGTAATTTGATTTATTTTACTTTTAATCCAGCACAGAAATCTTTTGACATTTTTATGTTTTTTTTTAATTTATTATAAATCATTAGTAACATAATCTTACCTAATCTTATCTTCTGTTTTTTTTATTGTCACAGATATTACAGCATCAAAAATGTGCTTCCGAACAAGAAATCGTGGATTTAAAAGCTTCGCTTTGGGCAATGGGAAGCACGGCTGTGACTTCTCAAGGTCTGCAGCAGCTGATGAATTTGTCCAATGGTTATTTAGAAGATTCAGTTCCTGTCCACATAGTGCGACTGGCTAAGTACTGCCCAGTGTACTCTGTGCGGGCCACGGCTTTCTACGTACTTGGTCTAATTGGAAGCACATATGATGGCGCCAATGTGCTAGCTGATCTGGGTAAGACATTAAAATAGCTTCACGTTGGAATGTTATAAAATAAAAATACGTAAAAAATAGAGAGTTTTACCAACAAATAAAACTTACCTATTATTTTTTCTTTAATATCCGGAATCCATCTTGAGTCAAGCACCTGTCTTTCTACCGTTTAAATCAGCGTTTACGGTTCCTCTCCGATTGTGGCGCCCTCTATGTCGTGACTCGGAACTTACTTTGCCGCGCACCGGGTGATGTCCGCCATTATAGGTCTCATGATGCGCCCAGGTAGCACTTACCTGGATTCCGGATATTGAAGAAAAAATAATAGGTAAGTTTTATTTGTTGGTAAAACTCTCTATTATTTGTTTCGTATCAATATCCGGAATCCATCTTGAGTGATTTGTTTGTTATCACCTGGTGCGAGAGGCTATAGACGCTATAATGTGTACATGCAGATTAAAATAAAACAGGTATGATGTGAAAAGAAAAAAAACATATCAACTTTTGTATAAGTATTAATCATGTTTTTATGTAACAACATAAGTAATTAACAACAACCAATTCACTTCGCGGCTTCAAAATAATTGGATAATGAAACAGATTTCTGAGGATCAAGAGAATCACGATTTTTTAGTTCCTTTTTATAGTAATTTTTGAAAGTGTGAATCATTTTCCAATTTCCAGTTTGAAGTATTTGATCTATGGGAAAATTTTCTATAAAATTAAGGGACGCCACAGCTGAACGCACAGACCCTGGAGTAGCTTCGATACCACTTTCTTTCAAAAGCGATTTTACTCAACCGCCTATCACTGTTCTGGATGCAGGCTTTATTTCACCTCTAGCAGTGATAAACAAACTATCAACATTTTTACGACTTTCTTGAGAAATTTTAAGTAATTGTTGAATCCAAAATACAGAATTTAATTTATGGATAGAATGCTGTTTAAGCCTCCATCCAGACTGTCTATGATCGGAAGTATCGGTTTTTGAACCAAAGGCAGGCCATAGTAAAATGCTTCTATCATTAATTATTAAATTGTTAACACCTATGCGTAGCAATGTAAGATCGTGAACTCTACGCCCAGAGGCTAGTAATAACAATGTGGCAGTGTGCCTTGAAACATGATATAGATTATTTTCATCAAAACAATATGAACATAGGTAATCTATCAACAGTTTAGGATTCCAAATAGGTGGTTTAACTGGCTTCTCTCTTGCTACCGATATGGCCTTCACCATATGTTTTACAAAGAAGTTAGAAGATAAATCTATTCTAGAGGTTAAATGTGTAAAGGTGGCAATCACAGATTTATGAACTAAAATGATTCTATAAGCTAGACCGACGTCACAATGTAAGTGTGCTAAATAACGAGTGACCTGGTCTGCAGTTGGGTATTTGTAATCAACTGAATGAGCCTCACACCAGTTTTTCCATCGTCTCCACGCCGGTCTATAGGTGTTGAGGGTGGAGCCTCGCCAACTCGACATTAGCAGAGCTTGCTCTTCAGCAGTCCACTCTGTCAGCATGTCTTGCCACCCAAAATCAGCCATGCCTCCAATTGCAGGTCCTGTACTTCTGGTGGGTGGGTGCCCGTCCTCGTGTCTAAAAGGACTTGCGCTAAGTCTGGAATCAGAAAGGGAGGTTGTAGTGCCCGTCGTTGAACATCGGCTCGCCAATACACTTTGTTCCAATTCGGTTATATATATTGACCGCTGGCTTGGTTCAGGTGGCTGAGGACTCTGGGGATGAGATTCGGCGGCGGGAACAGCCACGCTAAGTGGTAATGCCACTAGTGACGGAAGGCGTTGTGATATTCCGCTCCCTGATCGCTCAAATCTGTCGACACGTACCTCGATGCTACATGTGCTGTTCTGGAGGCAAACAGATCTATCTCCGGCGTGCCCCACATTTGAAAAAGTCTCATTGTAGCTGTTTCTAACAGGTGCCATTCGGGTTGGACTTTTCGGCGAGACAAGGCGTCGACTTCCGTGTTGAATCTGCCTGGGAAATACTGGGCCACTATATGTATATTCAAATTGTCTAGAGTCTGAATCAGAAGCTGTGTTTGTTTTAAAAGTTTCTTTGACTTTGTACCGCCTTCTTTGTTTATGTAAGACACTACCGTTTTGTTGTCTGTGTGGAGAAGCACTTGAGCATCTTGAAGCTGAAGGGCTTGATGCTGGATCGCTGCATGAACAGCAAACATTTCCTTTTGGTTTGCGTGCCACGTAAGCTGTTGTGGTGCCCAAATCCCCTCGATACTTAAGTCGTCTAACTACGTGTCCCATCCTATGTCGGATGCGTTCGTCGTTAACAAATGGGTTATCGCTTTTGGATGTACAGGTGTGAAACTTCCTATCGCTTTGTACCACCATTCCATCTCCTGTCGGACTTCCTGTGGGATGCTTATCTGACGAAACGGGTATTTTTTGGGTAATTGACGACTGAAGTATTGCAGGGTGCGACAATGAAGCCGTCCCCTTCTGGCTACAAATGAGGCAAAGTTGAGTCTCCCCATCAAGGTTTGGTATTGTCTGAGAGACCATTTGCCCTTCACAAGCTGCTGTCGAAGTGCTTTGCGTAGCGATAGGCACTTCTGCTCCGACAGGGATTTTGCGTTGCGTTTTGTGTCCCATGTGATTCCGAGGAACTCCAGGCATTGAGTCGGAGCTAAGACAGACTTGTCGTAGTTGACCACCCATCCGAGCATTTGCATGGTTCTTACCGTGTACGCTATGTCCTCCTGCAATTGCTGCTGGGATTGGTTTGCCTGAAAGAAATCGTCCAAATAAACCACGCACCTTATTCCATGACTCCACAGGAATTCTGCCACCCAGTTGGTGATTGAAGCAAATGTCTTCGGCGCCGATGAAAGGCCAAACGGTAAACATTTCATTTGCAGCAGTTGGTGCTGATGAGGATCGTGATGATAGTTGAGTTTTAGGAATCTGCGATGCTGTTGAGCAATTGGCACGTGAAAGTACGCTTGGCTTAGGTCTAGTTTCGCCAGCCAGTCCTGATCCTGCAGAAAATCCGGTACACGGAAATGATTGAAGAGTCGAAATGGTTTTGCAAGCACGAACTGATTTAACCTTCTGAGGTTGAAGATAGGTCGAAAGGTTCTGTCCGACTTGGTTACTAGAAAGAACGTTGACAAGTAGCTGGGACTCACATCCGCTTCTTCTAAGACACCTGCTTCTAACATGGGTTGGATCTGTGCAGACATCTGGTAAGACGTTTTGGTTCTGTAATATTTCATAACTGTTAAGCTCGGAAATATTAGTGGCGGCCTCAGTATGAAAGGTATGTGAACACCGTTTAATAGCTGACAATTTTTTTCTGGTGCTCCAAACATACTGAAATCGAAAGAGACAGCCGCCTCGAAAGCGCTTCGAGTCATTCGTGACGTCTATCTTTAAAGGAAGGTCGGTTTTGGTGTTTCTTGACCTTTTGCTTGTCGCCAGTGTTAGGTCTGTTTCTTGACTGGCGGGTTGGACGAGGCGCATGTTTACCTCTCTTTGCGGAATAATTCCGACGAAAAAACGTCTCATCATCGATGTCGATGGTTTAGGATACTGGTAAACTGAATCCTTTGCTTGCACTTAACAGTTGGTTTTGGGGACGAAAACTTCTCAATCCCCCCCATTTTGTGAAGGTAGCTATGAAGTAACTCTTCATCAAACAGTGACGTTAAACTAGGTGGGATTTTGTAAATAACATCACGGTGATACTCCTCGGATATGTGACGTAACAAGGTATCCCGACGAGTAGAAATAAGATCCTCCCGCCTTCCGCAAACTATTTGTGACAAGTCATCGGTTACTTTACTAAACGCGGATTCTTTCGAAAACGTGGTTTGTAGTTTTTCAAATATAGAATCAGGCGTTAATGCCTCTTTAGAACTGTATGTCCAATCGACTAGCGTTTGTAATGATCTTTGTAACTCTTCTTTTTGAGTAAGCAAGGCATTAGTCAAACCAGCAAATGACCGCTCTAATAAATATGAACGTGGGTCGTCCTTTAACATTTGACTTTCGAAACGCTTAAGCTCATCATTAACACTTAGTTCTACAAAGCCGGGGGTAGTCAAATACTTCTTTTGAGCATCGGTAAAACGAATAGCATACCAATCATTACACTTAAAATGCTGTTATTCAGCCAATTTTTTCAAGAATCCTTCATTTGACTTTGGATAAGCAGGATCTTTTATAGTAGTACTCACAGCCGATAAAATGTTAAGCTTATAATTATTTTCCGACTCGGGGCGTCGTAAAATAACCTCATTTGAAGTAACGACTGAATTTTCTACATTTGAAACCGATTTATTAAGTGCATGTGAAATAGCAGTTGAATTTTCAATATTTGAATTCAATTGTTTATTTTCAAAGTTTGCAGTAATAAGATTTGTCAAAACAGAAACTTGTTGTGATAAAAATGCAAAATGTGCGTAACTCACAGTTGGCGAATCTTTCCTTGCCTTTTAACTCGAAGGGCCCGAGCTATCGCTCGTTGATGATTTGCTATCTTCGCTGCCAGAACCCGTTGACACACTCGTTTCCGGGGGTCACATTTTTCAGCAACACTTTCTGAAAACGCTTTTTCACTTTCCCTATCTTGGTTCTCCATTATAAATATAGGAGAAGAAACCGAGTTATTTAAATAACGATAATAAATTAACACTTTTTCGCGTAAATTTTATCGAAATTCTATACTGACTTGTATACGGCGCGAAAAACAACGCTATAATGGCGGACATCACCCGGTGCGCGGCAAAGTAAGTTCCGAGTCACGACATAGAGGGCGCCACAATCGGAGAGGAACCGGAAACGCTGATTTAAACGGTAGAAAGACAGGGGCTTGACTCAAGATGGATTCCGGATATTAATACGAAACAAATAATAAAAGCGATTTAGTATTTTGAGCTTTTAGTTATACTTAAGATTTATCGATAAATTAAAAATGTCCTATTAGCAACAGCATCGTACTTTGTCGTAGGTTGGTTATGCGTTAGGCATACGAGACACGACCAATTTCCTGTGATACCGGAGGAAATGTTCCCCGCCGTATATGACTCTAGCGGGGCGCACTTTGTGATGTCACCGGACCGACGTATCAACTACGACGCCGATATCAGCGAACACTCAGACCACACAGACCAAAGCACGGTGGAGAGTCTCCATTCGGACATAACAAAACATCTGAACAGAATCGGCACGGTTCTTTCCGAAGAGGTCAAAGATCAGGATGTAGTGGATCACAAGGCTAACTTTACAGATGGGCGAAGGGACGATAAAAGGAAGTCGCACACCCTTCCCTCGCAAGGCTGCAGTAGTTCCCACGACCGCCCGATGCTCTCCGAGTCTAGAACGGTGGACATATTGAGAGACTGCTCGAATTACGAACGCCAGAATAGACTGATAGTTGGTAGGATGAACTCGTTGGAACACGCTCATGAAGGCCGCGTCAGGAATACTAGTGAGTCCAGTACAAGCGGTGTGAGCAGCTGTGATTCATTTCTTGGGAAATATGCTATTCCGTAAGTTATTTATAATCTTAAGATCTTTGTCATGATCATTAATAGTTGAAATTAGACATTATTGAGTTCAAAGCATAGGCTTTCACTAGTGTTACCAGGTGTCCCGATTTGCGCGGGACGTCCCGATTTTCAGGGGTCTGGGGACGCGTTCCGATTTGTACCTGATCGGGTCGTTAAATGGCCCGATTAACAAAAAATTAAATTTAGGTAATTAATATAATACTTTATATCCACTAGTAGTTTAAAACGCAATAAATTAAACCCAGACTTAAAAACCTCTTGTTTTTTGTTTACTGTCCCGATATGTAAGCCTAAAACCCGTTTTTTTTTTACCTCAAGTACTGATTTAAAACAAATCGGACCTGGCAACACTAGCTTTCACTCACACCTCAGCTATTGATTTAATTTATTGACTCTACTAAAAGTGTTGAATATTTATTTTGTTACAGTGATAGAATCCTAACATTGAGTCCAATACCGAGTTCCTCAAGTTTATATGGTATGAAGAGCACTAGTAGTTCCCACCGACCGAAGATATGCGAACTCCAACGACGGACATCTACCTCAAGTAAGACATGTTTAATAGTTTTCTTCTGAATGAATTAAGTATTTTTCTTTTCAGTATATAATAATGATTGACTATGGAGAGAGAAGAACTCATGATAAGCGACTTACGCATTTTTCTCATGCAACACTTAATTCTAAATATAAAAGACTGATTTTAATTGTGTAGTTATAGTTATCACAAAATTGATCCTGCGCAATAAAGCTTCTCTCAAAAATGTTGTGGCATTTTCCAATATATGCGTCGTAATAGGCTAGTTGACCCTTTTTGGAAAAAGGTTTTAAATGGTTAATAAATGTTCTATTAGACCGAAAAAAAACGTATTTAATTTTTTGAGACCTAGAAAGCTACAAATCTTTAATTTTAAAATAGACTTTTCATGGACATACAAAAACGCTGTCGGCCATTTTAGTCTATAGATTATCTATGCTATGACGTCAACTGCAGTAAACAAAAACTCGTAAGCACGTAGAAAATAACTTATCTGAGTTTATAATAAAAAAAAACATGATTTCTAATAAATACCACGAAAAATAAAGTAATTATCATTATTGAATTGTACGAGAATATAAAAACACATCCTTGAAGACTCCAGGAAAGTTGTGGATTAAAGTGCCGAAAGAAATTAACCTACGCAACTTTATTACACTTATTCATATGTTGTATCAGTTTTATGTTTATTACTACATTGTAATACTAAATGCACTGTACTTACATAGATGCCTTGTCGTTTCTTTGCTCCGCAGAGCAGAAATTGGGGTTTAGTGCAAAAAATTCACCAACCATCATTGCGTCAATTCTTGGCAGATTTGTGCTTTCAGCTCTTTGTCAAAAAAAAAAACAGTAAACGGAAACTTTTCTAAAGTTAAAAATGTTTTAAGATAAATTAAGTCAGACGAAAGAATCCACCTACAGTAACACGCGAATGACATTTAGTTGTTTACTACAAGAGACGTCACAATCATGGCGGATTTGGCGAACAGCGTTTTTAGTATTTAAAAAATATAAACTAAAAATATTTTTTAAAATTAAATGTCTACAGCAATCTTTTGCTTTTATGAAGTGAAATCGATATATTTAGGTTCCTTAGACCAAATACTTTAAGAAATAAACATTTATTAAATACAATTCGACATGAGTCAACTAGCCTATTATGTTGTAGAAATGTATCAATTTTTATAAATACATGTACAATTTTTTTGCTACGTGAGTGACAGTCAGTATGAGTATTGCTTTATTTATGAGTCGGTCTACAGTTTAGTGGGAAATTTAGTCTGGTCTGAATTTTTGTGTTATATTATTCTTAGTAATATTTATAATTTGTTGTGCCAGAAAGTAAATCGACAGTGCAATTTAACAAAGTTTTTTATTTTTATCTTGCAGGTTTTACCGGTCCAGATGTTGCTAGTTCGCCTCCTAGCCAAACAGATATCACCGGATTTGCCACTTTAAAGTCGTTAAATAGACGGTAATAACATTTTCTTAATATATTTAAATATCTACTACTCTTTCTTATACTTAGCCTTAGGATCCTGTAGAAATATAAAAAACATGTTGGTTGTGTGGCCACATTATTTCTGTTTACGTAATTTAAGTTCTCGTATAAAATATCTTTTAACATCTCTATTTTATTACATTATGCTTGATCAGGCCTCATTTATCTGAAAGTGCTGCTACGGGATCAAGTGACCTGGACGATTTAAATTGGCTGCTATCCGAAAGTAACAGAAGATCGAAACCTTTCTCTTCCTTAAGAGATCGAGCGAAATCGACGAGAGAACGAATGACAAAATTAAGGTAAACAGTTTAATGTGCAGTAATTTTAGGTGTCATCGTAATGGAACGTGAATTCAGAAACATCAATGATTGCAATTTCGTACAACCCATATTTTGCGGAGTTTCTTGTTCATTAAGAGGACACCTTACAATACACAGATATATGTATTTAAATCTTAAACACTAATTGTTTTCATTTTTGTTGATGGTGGCAGACAGACTTTATGACGAGTAGACGTGATATGCAATACTAATTTTTTATCCATTATGTTACAAAACTGTTCAACAACATTTACAAATTAAACAAGGGTATGACAATCACATCCCATACCTTATATATAAGGAACTTCGTTCCTTGAGCAATATGGTAGGTAGTGATACGCCGCATGCCTGTTTGCCACAATTTTTACGTAAAAGAGAGAAAGTTATTCCAAGGGGTCTTCCAATACCCGCTTGATTACCTTTTATTACGCCGTTTTATTACCTTTTTAATTCCTCATTCACCATATCAAACGTGTGGATATTTAAGATAAATACCCCTGCACCCTCCACCCCTCCCTCCTAATTTTTTGATGTAAAATCAAAAGCATTGGAAGAAACCTGATTACATGCTCGCACCTCGCTTTACTTATTTCAACGTGCGATTCAAACTTAATGGCAAATTTGAAGATAGCGCAAGACTTGCATTAAACGAAATGTAGGATGGGACTAGGGTTGCCAAATGCTGGCTTATCAATTCCGGGACATTTGCACCCCCCTCGCCCTGAAAAAATAAAGCATCAAATCAAACCCGCTATCACCCCCCAGAATTAAAACATCAAGCAGGCCAGCGGTGTCATTCGTTATTAGTTTATTTTGTTACGAAACTAGTACATTATCGGAATCCGGGACAATATGGTCTAATTACTGGACACGGGACAAGACGCAAAATTCCGGGACGGGACGGGGAATACCTTCCTATTCCATCCATATGAAAAGTCTGTGCCTCCGCAGTGGATACAAATAGGCTGACGATTATAAATGAGTGTTTGTCGTCAGCCTGCTGGAGTACGACTGGAAGCCGCTAGGCGCGGGCGACGCAGGGATCGCGGGCGGGGGCGGTGGCGGCGGGGCCGGGGGAGGAGGGCGGTCGTCTCCGCGTCGACGGCGAGTGCCGCCCGTGCAGCCTGCCCCTCGCGCCCCCCCGCCGCCCGCCTACATCGGCATCTGTCTGCCGAGGGACCTCATGGAGCTGTTCCCCAGGTGTGTATTGTGTTTCGCGTGGCCTTGTATACGCTGAAGTAAGACTGGAAGCCGCTAGGCGCGAGCGACGCAGTGATCGGGCGGGGCCGGGGGTGGGGGGGGGGGTCGTCTCCGCGCCGGCGGCGAGTGCAGCCCGCTCCCCGCGCCCTCTGCCGCCCGCCTACATCGGCATCTGTCTGCCGTGGGACCTCATGGAGCTGTTCCCCATTCCCAAACTTAAGACGTGTTATAATACGACAAAATTGAAGAGTAGACATGATATTAAGTATTTTACGTTGAAGTGTTGTGTTTTATAGTCGGTTGGTTTACGTTAGCCATCTTTACTCTCCCAATCAACCATTTGACGCGAGCGTGCATATTCTACCTTATTTGTTAAATTCTTGTTATTTCCTTGTTTTATTTGTTGATTTTGTTATTTTTTTACTTACAAGTTATAAGTTGTTAATAAATTATAGGTTACATAAATTATACCTAATCATTGAATAGTAGGTACTTTCTGACATTGTAAAAGTTTTAGAACCTCGGATTCCTTGTTTACATTTTGTCTCACGTTAAAGTGAATAGACTATAGGTCCCGCAACACCGCCCAATTCCCGACGCGCTTTATAGGGACTGTGGACTCTTTAGAATGCGGGCGGGTGACCGGTGCAGGAGTATTGTATGGTTTTTACCAGATAGGGCCTTATTAAAAGCTCGCTGAAAGCTTGTGAGCTGAGTTAAATGACAGAAAGGAGTCCACAGAGCCCTTTCATACATACTTTAAGGCAAGCTTCATCTCCAAGGGTTAGTCATGTATTTTCCTGACACCGAACAAAAAGGTACGTATTGTGTTTACTGTCAGCCCGCTTGTGTGTAACACTGACAGCCTACATCGGCATCTGTCTGCCGAGGAACCTCATGGAGCTGTTCCCCAGGTACTTGATGTGTTTATTGTAAAAGGACCGGAAATGTGCACATGAGTGCTATTCTGCATATAGACATAAAAAACTATTATCGTTACAAACAAATAATCAGAGTGTTCCATGCATGAACTGCCTACTCCTCTCCTAGCTGAATCGGAGGTGCTGTATGTTAGTATCGGTATAGAACTTAGATTTATTTAGCAGGAAAAAATATAATTCTGTGAGTGTCTATGTTAACTTAACTTAATAATCGTCAATGAACATACAGCTATAAAATTGAATTGTTGCGTAGGGACGAAGAAAACAAAGAACAAGACGATGGTGATAGCAAACCGGAAACGAGGCGCACCCGAGTGCCATCATTCATGGCCGAGTCAAGTAACGCTAGCACGGATAACAAGTCGCGCGCCACTCCTGATAGCCAGAAGTTGGCTTTCTATAGAGGTGAGTAGCTACTGTTAATCTATTATCATTAGTTTTTTGATAATCCCTCAGCAACCTTTTTCGGGATAAAAAGTATCCTATGTCTCAATTGAAGTCATAAACTATATGCATACTCAATTTCATCCAAATTCGTTCAGTAGTTTTTGCGTGATTGAGTAACAAGCATACAATCTTCCACATTTATAATATTAGTAGGTTTAATGACCCGCCATGACTTATATTCGGTATAGGCTGTAGTTTTTGTTTTGGGACTTATGTTAGATATACGAGTAAAGTATATAAAGTAGTATAAAGTTTCCATAAAAAAATATGAATCGAAAGAAAAGGAAGCGAAAACCGCGTCAAACCCCATTGTGTGGCTTAGGAATAGAGTGGGAATACAGACAAACACGAAATTAAGCTATTATTTTATTTAGTGTATAGACATTTAGTAACTACCGACGCATAGCACAGGTCTTGACATTGCAGAAGTAAACCTAACTGTATTACAAGAATAAAAAGCCTAGTAAGATGTGGTAAAAAGAATTGTATGTTAATTATTAATTCAGTTTTGTTTATTTTTTCGAATCCCTCCTAATCCTGACGCCCTACAATAAATATAAACGACAATCGGCTGTCGTTTGTAGTATGAATGTGTTTGACTTTGTTTCTGAGTGCATAAGGTCTAAAATTCAAACATTCGATCAACGAACTTCGTTCCGATTATCGATTTTATTTTTGCATTAAACCTCCTCTTCGTAAGTGTATTACAAAACTTATGTATGATTCTCTTAACTTGCAGCATCATCAGGTGGTACGACAAATGTCAGTTTAGTTGGAATAGGTAACCCTGTTCCTAATAATAATAGCGGGTTAGCCAAAGAGAGAACGGACAGGGAGCGCATATCCGAAGAGAACACTACTGACAGCATAACCGAAGACAAACCAGTGAATAACACGACAACACATAGTAACAAAACGAATGCTACTAGTACGAGTGTCGTGAACGCAATAAATAATAATGCCGAACAAAGTGTCTCGGTATTGGCTGATAATAGAACTATTTCAGCGGCTGAGAGGGATAATGCGAATGTGAACAAAGGGCAATCGGAAACCGAGAACAGTTTGAGTATAGGAGTTGTTACTAGACAGAGCAACAGATGGCGACACTCGGCGGCAGAATGCCTGGCCTGTATGCGGACTAGGCCGCCCTCTTCGCACGAACTACGCGAAGCATTCTTTGCAGGTGAGTTCTATTATAATTAATTATCTATTAAACTTACAGTTATAATTAATATCGGATAAATCATTTTCATTACCCTCAATTCAATATACTTTTGAACAATAACAATTCTTTTTTATACGATAATAAAACATTAAGGTATTATGAAAGTTTCTATCTATTACGTAATAACCAGTTTTTTATAACAGGGGTATGTTAGTAATGATTACCAACAGTTGCATTCAGTCAACGTAGATAAATCGCATGTATCTTTCATTTTTATACTGTTGACCTTGTTGTAATGAAATATTGTTGCATGATGATAGGATAATTACCTGCTACAGCATTTAACGTGAGGCGAGTATCTCTTCAAAAGGATGTTATTAACAAAATCATTCCGTGACGTAATGTCTTATAATTGGTAGGTTTACTATGAAGAATTTTTGAATCAGTTTTTGTGTGCAATTTACATAAGGAAAAATAAACATCTTATTAAATTAAGACGCCGTGTGCAGTGTTAATTTAGGAATTTGAGGGGGTGAAGGGCTGTCAGTCGTCCCGCGCAAACCCCGTTGACGTTAACAGCTTTAAGGTTGTTTTATGCTGAAGCGGACCGATAAACTATCATATTATATACATATGTAAGGAAACTCCTTCAGAAACCAGCAACTTATTTATTCAACTCTAGATTAGTAGTTCTTATAATAATAATTACAGACGACACGTCGAAAATTCAGTCGGCCATTCGCGCCATCTGACACTTCCGGTTTTAATTAATTTTAATACAGTGATCGATAAACTACATTTAAATTTATAAAAAATATAATTTGATTAATAATTTGGACACAATAAAATTTAACCTAATACAATGCATTACATACGATACAAATAAATAAAAAATATATTTCTAAACTTGATTTATTTGACATGTCATCGCAGAAACTAGCTATCAACACGTCAATAATTTTGTGTCAAAGTTGTGCAAAACTACATGAAGCTAAAACTAGCAGACATTGACGCAAAACGTATTTCTGGCAACTGTTTTAATTTTAAGGGTTCCGTACCTCAAAAGGAAACTCTCTTATCTATCTATTGGTCATTCCCACGATTATGAATTTCTGTTTTAAAAAGACATACATAGATACATTTGGATGATGATTATTTGCCAAATTAAGTTTATAAAATTCCTTTTCTTAACAAGTAATAAATAGAATTTATCCCAAAAAAAAATCGACCCCGCAATATTAAGGATTTGGTACATATTTATAAGGATGCTCAAAAATCGGGTGAGCCTAGAATGACTTTTATAAGATTACTATGTTGTCTAAGCCTGTATGGGTGTTACGAAGTCCTCGTTAAACAACGAAGCCATACCTCGAAAGGAAAAAGACAAAACCCTTATACGATCACTTTGTTGTCCGTCGTTCTTCTGTCAGTTTGTCTATAAAGACCAGTGCCGTCTTTGACATATTGGAGGCTCTGGACATATTAGGATAATGGGGCCCCTATGGCCCCCGTTTGGTGATCTAACAAGAACTAGGGACTTTGTATTTGTGATCTGAGGTGCACACCTATCGATCACGGGGCCCTGGGCACTTGCAAAGTGCCCAATGGGAAAGTCGGGTCTGATGAAGACCCCTTATCTCGGGAAATCGTGGAGGTATCGAGTTGAAATTTAAACTCAAGTCTGCAATCCTTTGAAGCTGTGAAAAAATCAAACTTCTTTAGAAGTTTAAATTAAACCTTAATTTATTAAGGTAAAAAAAGTTTGTTGCGTATCTACAAAGGACATCGACGAAATCTGCCCCAGCATGCACAAACGAATGTCCTTTACTATTATTTGTTTACTTTATTAGCGATTAATCATAGTAAACGGACATTCTGTGGTAAACAAATAACAGTAAAAGATTAAGTTAGTAAAGGCCACGGTTCCTCAAGTTGCCCGTATTCCCACAAATGCCTAATGAGAGTTTATGAATGACTACCGGCCGCACGCGACGAAGTTTAAACGAACGCGCGTTAAAAATAAAGGTTCACAGCTCTTTCCTCGTAGGTGATAGCGTGATAATATGTAGCCTATATGTTAATCCGACTTCTTAATAATATTCGTAAAATTTGAAGTAAATCCATGCGGTATACAGACATACATACAGACAAACAGACAAAACTTCTAAAAACTATATTTTTGGCTCCGGTATCGATTGTAGTTCACACCCCAATTATTCTTTTAAAAACATATTCAATGTACAGTTTTGACTTTCCTACCATTTTGTTATATGTATAGATTCCCCTCCCTCCCTCTTAACGTGTGACGTACTTTAGGAATGACCCCCAAGTAATTGTTGTAGGAATGGAAGGTTCATCTATACTGGATAGCCGCAGCCCGCCCAGCAGCCCCGCGCCCAGCGAGCGTACGCCGCACGCCGAAGTGTTGCATCACGTACACTACATGTCCAATCCCACGCACCTGCGACAGGTTAGTTTCTATACTATAAGAACCTTTAATAAAACAGGTTTTTACAGGTTGTATGCATTGAATTTATTAAAGCCTAGAAGGTAGCTCGACAAAGTAAATAAAACTCATTATTCCGATGATGCTTTCCTGAAAAGGATGCAAAACGTCAATAAATAAATTCAGTGCATATAACCCGTAAAAAACTGTTTTATTTAATGAGTGAGGCGCGTGAAAACCTAAGAAACAAATATATAAGAACCTTGTAAACTACCTCTTTTGTTTCTTTTCGCATTTCCTTAAAATAATAACACGAGCGATAAGAAAAATAACAGAATCTGCTTTATTTGCTGGCACTTCACTTAGCTATTCGTTTTTGCTCTTTGTAAACTTTACATCAGTCTGCCTTTTCATTCTTTATAAAGCATGATAAGGACAGACTATTGCCTAACTAACACAAATAGAAAATACAAATAGCCAAGTGAAGTGCATTCATGCTGTCTCTCTCTTCTCTTGATCTCCACAATGATCAATGATTTTTTAGACCTCATTTAACTTCTAGTCAAGCGAGTGGACATATAGACGTAAGCTCGGATACCGCTTGTTGACTAAGCAACGCATGTGTTATAGTGCTAATTAGTGTCTAATGTCATACAAAAAATACCGAATGGCTCTAACGGATGTACCAATCCGATTTCTATTCTAATTTTGTGCCCCAACCCTTAAAGTTATCTATGTCTCGCTGTCCATTCGCTTACGTCTCTTCATATTAAGCTGGATGAATGAAGACGCATAGTTGTCCACTAGTTTACGTATTTATGCACGTTTTCAACCTGTAGGCCTATTCGCTAACTGCTTTTGACATATGGAAGTGAAAGTCACAGAGCTATTTAGTGGTCCATTACTGCTTTTTTATAACGTCACTAAGATACTTGTTTTGAAAAGCATCGATGGATATGCAATTTTCTCTTTAGTTGCACACTGCAAATTTCAAAAAAGTTTGCGAATAGGCCGGTAAAGCTGGTGGGTGAACCTTTAGAATTATTACTAGAGATGGGCGTTTTTAGACATTTGTGAAATCGATGCGCATCGGTATCAGATAAATCGCATCGGATGCGCGCATCGATGCCAAGTTAATGTCAGTATCATATTATCACCGGATACGATGCGATATTCATTACGACAGATGCGTGTTTTGTGTGGGTGTGACTCTTCGATTCCATGAACCATGACTTGAAAATGTAATAGAAACCATATATTTACTTTTCGGTATGGTAACCGAAAAAAAATTAATGCTGCCAAAATTATTACATAAAAAATTGCACTCAGAGCGTAGGTTTTGACGCAGTCCAGTACCACAAACTTGTCTGTGCCGGTAGCAAACATTTGAACTACAATTTATCCATAGCATTTTGACATTTTTATGACATATTTGTTCACCGCTAGGACATCTTCACCGGCACAAATAAGTTTGTGGCACTGTTGCTATAGTAACGTTGACAAAAACTAGATGGCATCGGCATCTAATAACGGCATCCAGATTCCAGTCGCATCGGATGCGCGCATCCAAACCTGGCATCGTTAATCTAAAAACGCCCAACCCTAATTATTACAATGTTGTTTTTTAATGAAACATTTGGAAAATACAAACGTTGGCTCCTTCCGCAGACACGTTCAGCGCTCCTGGCGCTCAAGCAACGGCACCCTGATGTATTCCGTAGCCCGTGCGTATATTCGGACGTGTGTGCTCTCCTAGCTAGGGACTCGTACATGTTGTGCGCGCGCCGTTTCCTCCAGGAGTTATTCCTCGACGCCAACTTCGAGTGCTTCGCAAGCGAACCCGCCACACTACTAGCTCGACACACTACGCCCACTGACGAGTCCCAATAGCATTTACATATAACGCGGCTACCTTAGTACAGGGGCGTCACGTTCATAAAAACACCGTGTTCATAGGCCCAAGCATGAGTTTTTGACAGCTCCGTAACGTATAGTCACCATAGACACAATACATATAAGAGCAGTACTTCGACTTCATACTAGCGCCCGAATCGACGCACGCACACAGACAAACGTCATTTACACGGCCGCTAACCAATCTTGCCAAGACAAATCTACGCAGTGCCACGTCGCGCGCCGCCGAGACTGGTCGTTGGTCGAGTTAAGTAAGCTGCCCCCGCGCCGTCTGCGTCCGTTTTGATTCCGTAACGTAGCAATAGTAACTATACACATACAATAAAAATCTACACAAATATGTTTTACATTTTGTAAGTACCAACCCTAGCGCTCCACTCAGTCGTAAGTATCTATTTAAAGAAAAAGGCTGAGTTACGCTACTGCTCTTGTATGTATTGTGCCATAGAGGTATAAGAATTGAGTGGGGAAGGCGGCTCTAAAAGTGTCCGTCTAGTAGAAAGAGAAAGAAGATTAGAGACCGCTAGCTATCTCTGTTTCTTGTGACGCATGGCATCCAATCGAAATAGTAAGATGCTTACGGTTGCCAATGCGTATACGCGATTCGAGAGAGTAAGCTAGCGGTCTCTCATCTTCTTTCTCTTTCTATTAGAGGGACACTTCCACTGGCAGTAGAGTCTATGGCCCATATTACAGAATGACAACTAAATGTTGATCTTTACTTGAGTACAGTTAGACAAGGGATGTCGCTATGTGCTATATATAGCGACATCCCTTTCTAGCTATGCTCAAGACTAGATCAATCACTGAAAATCTTTCTATAATACAGACCTATATCTCCCCTACTCTATTCTTATACCCCTATGATAGTCGCCGTCAAATTTTGTATGGAGAAAGCTAATTTGTTCTTGCGTCCGATAAGGACGCTGCTTAGTTTTCATCATAACTTTGACGATGCGATACGTTGAGGAGCTGTCAAAAACTCGTGCTTGGGCCTAAGCTTAAATTAAGGCCGTTACGGTGCAAACAGTTATGAGAGCAAATAATTGCGTTAATGTTCAGCTTATTAAGTATTATTTCTGGTAGCAATAATTAAAGAACACTAGTGCAGTGTAATCGAAGTGATACATAATTATGGCGGAATCGTATCCAAATGAACCTACTTTGTACGCTTGGCGCCCCCTAAACGATGATATTTTGCGTTTCGGTTTTATGCATCGTATATCTGATTAGCCACTAGTCGTTACCTTGAGTCGTAACTTGATTTGTAAATTGATAGTTATGATGTATGCTTATCATAGGCCTCCGAGGAATCATAGCGTATATTATTAATTACATCTCACCAATTAACTATTAAACTTATTGATGGTTTGACTTCCTATTAGTCTTATTCTCATTGTGTACATTTGTGTTCTGCTGACTGTCAAGTTCGACACCTGACAATTGTATTGTTATAAAAGTAACTTATTAGTATAGACAGGAATTTAATTGTATTTACATACTAATGCAAATTAAGGTAAGCTCTTTAGATGTTAATCTATCGCGATAAGCAGGTGAAAATGCTTCGTAATTTATATTATTTTGTAAATTTATATAGTTGTGTACGATGCGTTATAAAAAATGAGTCTTTTTTTCCATCTCGGTTTTCTACAAACGGTGTGTTGATTTAAATAACATTGTTCCTTTCTTACCGTGCGACCTTGTGTTTACGGAACTATAAATCTGATATTGCATTTACGTATTAATTAATGAATCGGATCACGGCGAGTCTTTGATTCATCCTCACAGTATGACAATAGTTAGCGTGTACTCAGACTGAATATTGCACCATTCCCTCTTATCCCATAGTTAATTTAAGTGATGTATCCCACCTACAGCAACGCCTCAGATTCTTAAGTTTTCTCTCACTTTATGCAAATTAAACACATAGGCTTAAGTATTTGTGTTCAGTTTTGGTCTTATGCATTTAGTTTTCGTTAGAATCGTTATTCTCTGTAACTATTTATGTTAGGTAATATTTAATTATGATATTAAAACACTATTATCAGAAAAAGCCGAATGTCACATAACTATCTGTTATAGTTTAATTGTTTGTTAAGGATCAATTCAACAGTAATAATATATGTTAGGATAAGCTTTTCGTTTGACATTTTGTAATCTAATATTATTTAGAAGAGTCCTCAAAGATACATTACAGTATTTCTAGAATTGTCAATGATTTACCATTGTAGTTTGCTTTCGGTTACTGCATACTGCATTTAAATATCCTAGCCTTGTTTACTATATACATTTTGTTTTCTTGTTTCTTATGTTGCTAACTTATTTGATGTACCAATTTTAATGGTTATATTCAATTATAAGTAAACGCTAGTCTAATAATATATAAATACATATATAAAATCTTATTGTTTACCTGTTGGCCTTTTTCATGTTCTACCGAACATGAATTTCATAAACTATTATTAATAATTTATGAAATTGATTGCAGCTGAGTGATTTTGTTACAATGGTGATATTTGTTTACATTACATATTAAGCAACTTATCTACGTTTTTAGTGCGTCGTATGTACAGATATAAGCAGAAGTGCATGCTTGATATATACCTTCTTTCAAGAGATGAGAGATTTAATTACCTATATAAATCTCAATTTATTTTTCTTGATAATAATCAACGAAAATCGCTGTTTAATAATCGTTACAGCGAATCGACTTTTTTACTCTTAATGCTATAATATTAAATTTTTATCGTTTACCTTCATTCTCATTGTATGATTACGAAGATAAACATGCTGATTGATGTGTTTATGAAAAAGGTCTAAAGAAATAACTGATTTGGTTTTCCAGATGGCAAGATAAAACTTCAGAATATTATATTAAAATAGTTACTAACTGCATATAATAAAGAGCAAATCGAATATAGTGCCATTGTGCTGGTTCCTTTAAAATCATAATTAAAAAAGCAATTACAATATTATTACCGACTCAATTGTCACAGTCACTATTCAGTATAATAAATATTATTTTATACTGTAGTTTTTAGTTTTATTATAGACTAGATGCGCCCTGCGGTTTCACCTGTGTTAATTTGAGGGAAAAGATTATAGTGAGTCAACCTTAAAAGATAGATATGCTGTCGCAGACTTTTAGATCTTGTTAAGGCGTTATACATGTTTTTGTGTAACTAATCGTTTAGAGTCGATTCACACTGAAATGCCAGTGGCCGGCAGCGCTGCGCCTAGCACTTTCACGTTGAAAGCTGTGTGAAATAATTTTGAACTTTATTCGACATACCTTAAAGACCAGTATCGCTTGAAAAGGGCTCGCCGGCCGTTACCATTCCGGTGTGAATCAGTCCTAAACGCAGCGCACGCAACGGTAGCTCAAATGGAGTATTGTTTCCCGTTGTGCAACATTTTTCAGTGATGCACCGATGTTATTGATCGTAGCGTCAATACATTCTATAGACTTCCATTACATTGACCAGGGGTGCTCAAAGGTCGATCGCGATCGACTGCTAACATCTATATATGCTACGTTACACCCTACCTAAGTATGTGGGGTGTATCGTGTATGTACGACAAAGATATGCTGTCGCAGACTTTAAGAGGCGTTATACATGTTTTTGTTTAACTAATCGTTTAGAGCCGATTCACACTGGAATGCCAGCGCCGCGCCTAGCACTTCCACGTTGAAAGCAGTGTGAAATAATTTTGAACTTTATTCTACATACCTAAAAGACGAGTATCGCTTGAAAAGGGCTCGCCGGCCGCTACCATTCCGGTGTGAATCAGTCCTAATGTTTTTCTTAGTGGTTTAGGAAGTCAATAATTTTATCAAGTGTCATTAATTAGAAAAAAAACTCAATGATTCAAGCTTTCGGCAAATCAATTCCATTGTCTCAGCTTTCCATTATATGTAATTGAGTTGCAAGCTGAAATTTTTGTCACGCAAAGTATTAACTATTATAAACACGTACACGAAATCTTTTTAGGCGGAAACGAATAGAACTCGAGAAAAAAAATATTGAAAATTAATGTTTTTGTAGGTTATGAGTCAATTTTGACAGAAATTTTGATCAGTGCTGCCATTTTTTTATGCAAAAATAACATGTTTCTCGTTGTCTATGGTAAATATAAGTTTATTAAGTTGGTGCTATTGTCAAAATGTGACAATTTACCGCCATTAATGAGATCTGTCAGTCAGTGTTTGTGTTCGTCACAATTGAGAGCTTTTTCGTACTCCTGTTGATATTAACATCGTCTGACTACCATGGCATCCTCAAAGCCTTCGGCCTCGAGTTCTGCTGTCCCTTCGCCTGAAGAGTCGAGTGTAGTGCGAGTTTTGGACTCTAATGAGCCGCTTGTATGGTGATACTTCACACTAGGTTAGGTTAGGTTAGTGTTGTGACCTTAACGCGCGAGCCGAGCGAGCGAAGCGAGCGTGCCGCGGGAGCGGCCGGCGTAGCGCCAGAAAGAAAAATTCGTTAATAGAGACTTTTTCTACAAAAAAATCTAGGCCCTGGAAGTACAGTTTTACCTTTAAAACCCCTCTAATTTTTTATAATTATCATTTCTGTAAAAAAAACGCCGGGGGGGGGGGTTTACCCTTCCCTCTGAGGAGTCTTCCCTTATACCTATCCCCCTGAAATTCCACTACATTTAACAGATTTAATGAATTTTTAGGTTAGGTAAAAAAAAAACTGCATTTCCGCCAAAAATCTTTTATGGCGGGGGGGTCGGGGAGAGCCCCCCCTCCCCCTCCCCTACAAATTACCCCGAAATTCGATTACATATAATGGAATTAAGTACCATTCCATGCTTTTAACGAGTGCTTCGCTAACGTACGCTTAATCTAAAATGATAAAAAAAATATAAATCTATATTTCAGAAATACGTATTGAGTACGTACGTACGGACCTCGATAGCCCAGGATACTCTATTTCAACGAAAAACTAAATTTTGATCGAAATTTCGCACGTTTCCTACCCTATTTCCTTTTCATTATGAAAATTCGTTCATCCGAAAATAGTTTGACAATTAAATTTTCCAAGCCTACTCTAATTCACAAAACTTTTAAACGAAAAGTTGAATTTGACATATAATGCGATTCAACTAAGAATAGGATCGACGGGGCGCCATATTGTGACGTCATAGCTGTCAATTCAAACGAAAAAGGTAGAGTGAGCAAAAAAGTTTTTATTTAATAAAAGTTATTTACTAAGATTAAGTGAGAAAAGACATCCGATTTTTTAATAAAATTTATTTACTAAAATTGAGAAAAGAAAAAAACGATTTTTAATAATATTTATTTATTAAGACTGCGAGAAAAAACATATCAGAATTAAAAGCTCTTCAATTCCGCTCATCTCGGCATTACCGCCGGAGTAGTTATGAATAATCATGCACTATTACTATGTCACATACGAACATGCATCCTTTATGTAAACCAAAGTTTTAAATCAAGTTTCTGAACGCAACTTAAAGTGACATTTGGTTGACGATTTAGGTTATCAAACATTCATAGACAAAGCTCAATAAATGAAAAATAAAATATCAACCAATATCAATTAACAATATTTGTTATTGTTTGTTTACAAATGTTTGGTTCCATAATTAGCTGAGTGCTAAAAAGGGTTCCAAGATTTTTTTGCAAGCCGTACTTTTCAAGCGACATTTGACAGATGGAGGTCATTGTGTCATTGGCTGTCCTATTCTTATTTGAATTGCATAATTTTATAATTGTTCGAAATTTTAACTTCAAATTGACGAAATGAAAAGTGTTACCTTTTAATTTTCGTTTTGGGACTTTTGTTCATATTAAGCCTAAAATGACTGATAGAGTATTTTTAATCAAGGCTGCTTAGCGTGAGGAACATTTTTTAGCATTAATTAAATTTCCAATATTATACTTCAAAGTATTAAACGACTTTAGGTTGACGTACAATGAAGTGCATCAACTCTACACTGTCAAAGAAGGTTCTTTTAATGTCATCAAAATTTTTGTAGTAAAATATTATTGTTTCCAAGTAAAACAGGTAATCTAAAAAGTGGAGATAAAAGAACTCATACATGACTCATTCCATTCGATCACGTAATTGGTCTGTGACTCCGTACTTTATGTGCGTGTTCGAAAATGAAATAGAGTAGAGCCATTGGCGAAATTTCGTTTAAAATTCGTTCGTTACCGAAATTATGTTTCGGAGAAAGAGAGTACAGCTCCAGGTGTTTAGCGCGTTCGGCTTGCGATCGTGGAGGTTAAACAACTTTGGCAATGGTCGGTAATTTGATGGCTGACAAAAAACTTATTATCTCGAGCTCCTGTCGAAGCTTGTGCTGTGTCCCTTCAGTGGGGATATTAATAGGCTTATGATCATAATTTATGTGTTTGTTACAACGCTTGACAAACTATACATTTTTTTAAATATCACATCATTTTATCCAAAACCGTTACAATCACAAAAAAAACAACCTGCATAAACATACAACAATAATATAGTCCATTGAAATAAGAAAAAACATGTTTTGATATCGTAATCGCCTTTTTTAATAAAACCAATAATAATATTTGTATAATTCATAGTTTTCGAGAGCTATACAAGAGAGATAGCGAATACAACACTAATTTTGATATCCAAGCGAAATCTTCTTTTTATTGGACTGCAGAAGGTAACGTATCTCCGTTTCTTTGATACGCCCTACAGCCAAAATGACTTGACTTGCGAGGTACGAGTATCATAATCAAATTGTCGTGATTGTAAGTAAAACTGTCTTTTAAAACCCTTCACTTTGATAGCACATTTTATTTAAAAACTTGTTTCATGCTTCAAATACTGCTGATATTTGGTACCAAAATGAAACAGCTTGAAAAAATTTGTTTGTAACCTTTCAAGCAGGATATTAGAGTGAAGGGTTTTAAAATGAAATTCAGAGAATATATATAAAATTATACAAATTGTATACAGTGGTGGTCATATGATTAGAAACAACCTGGGCAGACATATAATACAACTTGAGTGTTTGAGTTAAAAAATAGTTATTTATTATACAAGAGTGGAAAGTTCCTTTTTAACCGCGTGCTCGATTTGGATGACCGAGCAAGCGAAGGATTCTAAAGTTGAATCACGAGCGCAGCGAGTGATTCTAAATTAGAATCCTGAGCGTCAGCGAGGGAAACAAACGAGCACAAGGTGAAAAATCTTTCCACTCGAGTGCAATACGTAACTTTTCATCCCACCTCAGCGAGGAAATGACAAAATGAAAAAGAAAACAATTTATAATGACAAAATATTTAAGCAATAAAACGTGAAAACTAGAATGGCGCGAAGCACGCAAATAAAACAAAGAAACCAAGAAGGTTCCAAATTTAAATTTTTTCACAATTTAAAAAGTTCTAATCATAAATTTGGCACCATAGAGGTTACATTAAATAGGTTTAATGACGTTTTGAATTTACAATTATATTGAGTACTCATTATATGTGATGTTCTAAATTCAAATCTACTTTGCCGCTCAAGCGAATAAAATAGAATTTTCCAGCCAGATTTCGAAGCGCAAAATTACACTTTCCGAGGTGGTGGGATGAAAAAAATATTGTTACCTAGCTACGTGCTGTTATTTGTCAATTCCGTCATTTTTTGTTAATTCAGTCTTTTCTATTAAATGTTTGTTCAAGAATTCTTGCTTTATTTATGTAATCATCAAGTGGTTATGGGCACAGGAGCGCTAAAAGAAATTTAATAAGCAAAGAGCAAGGTCAGTAAAATGGAAGTAAGTAAGATTGAAAAATTTTACGGAACCAATTTCAAGCAATGGAAATTTCAAATAAAATGTGCCTTGAGAGCAAAAGGCCTCGATATAAATATGGTGAAAACAGTGGTACAATGGAACAAAGACGATGGTATGGCTATGTTCATTATTACATCAGCTATGGACTTGAAACAAATTGCGCTTATAGAAAATTGTGAGTCGGCATTGGAATTGATGACAAAGCTAGAGTCGATTTTTG